CTCTAGCAATACAACAGTTCGGTGATAAACGTATTGCTTGTATCTTGGATACATGGATCATTGCTTTCCAAGACAGAATACCACTTAGGGAGATGACACTTTTTATGGTTATCCAAATAGTTACAGTGAATGCTATGATTTGAAGAGGTGATTGTTGGTGGAAAGGTGAGTCATTCCCGAGCCTGCCCCTTTGAGGCCCGACTTGTACCTTACACAGAAGGTGTGGGATAAGCACCTGTACTTCTTGACATTTTTGCTGACAATAACCATGTGTGTTGTCTATAGCCAGTGAGCAATTCTGTATTGCTGTTACAATGGTACAAGTTTAGCATGTAAGCCACTCCAATCTCTCTACAACTCTAGATCTCGGCCTGTACATTTCTCGTTGTGAGATCCTTACTCAACCTTCAGTACCGTAACTTAACAAAAGGAATGCCACAAAAGTGGTAATAATTCATGCTTATTAATACATGATGTCAGAACAAAACAAGAGCTGAAATCCTACTGTACAAATATAGGTATATTGACATTCTACCTATTCAAAGTGATTCAACATGACAATGACACTTTACACCATAAGTGTCATTCCTTCCCCATTTTACTGCAGTAAATTGAGTTCATTCCTATATAACTAATATAATAATATATGTGCTACTATAATAAAATATAAGCTCAGTGTTACAGTCTAATGTACTGTAGCGTCAGCTCACTCCCACCTCCTTATTACAGTAATAACATAGCTCACTCCTGTAACAAATGTATTATAGTAATATAAGCTCAGTGTTACAGTCTAATGTACTGTAGCGTCAGCTCACTCCCACCTCCTTATTACAGTAATAACATAGCTTACTCCTGTAACCAATGTATTATAGTAATATAAGCTCAGTGTTACAGTCTAATGTAGTGAAGTGTCTAGCTCACTCCCACCTCCTTATTACAGTAATAACATAGCTTACTCCTGTAACAAATGTATTATAGTAATATAAGCTCAGTGTTACAGTCTAATGTAGTGAAGTGTCTAGCTCACTCCCACATCCTTATTACAGTAATAACATAGCTTACTCCTGTAACCAATGTACTATAGTAATATAAGCTCAGTGTTACAGTCTAATGTACTGTAGTGTCCTCTCACTCCCACACCCTAATGACTAGTAACAAAGCTCACTCCGATAACTAATGTACCATAGTAACAAAGCTCACCCGATAACTAATGTACTTAACATAGCTCACTCCGATAACTAATGTACTATAGTAACAAAGCTCACCCGATAACTTATGTACTATAGTAACAAACTTTACCCCGATAACTAATGTACTATAGGAACAAAGCTCACCTGATAACTTATGTACTATAGTAACAAAGCTCACCCGATAAATAATGTACTATAGTAACAAAGCTCACCCCGATAACTAATGTACTATAGTAACAAACTTCACCCGATAACTAATTTACCATAGTAACAAACTTCACTCTGATAACTAATGTACTATAGTAACAAACTTCACTCCGATAACTAATATACTATAATAACAAAGCTCACCCAATAACTGATGTACTATAGTAACAAACTTCACCCTGATCACTAATATACTATAGTAACAAAGCTCACTTGATAACTAATGTACTAAAATTACAAAGCTTACTCGATAACTAATGCACTAGAATTACAAAGCTCACTCGATAATTTATGTACTATAGTAACAAAGCTCACTCGATAACTAATGCACTATAATTACAAAGCTCACCCGATAACTAATGTACTATAGTAACAAACTTCACCCTGATAACTAATATACTATAGTAACAAAACTCACCCAATAACTGATGTACTATAGTAACAAACTTCACCCGATAACTAATTTACCATAGTAACTAACTTCACTCCGATAACTAATGTACTGTAATTACAAAGCTCACTCGATAACTAATGTACTATAGTAACAAAGCTCACTTGATAACTAATGTACTATAATTACAAAGCTCACCCGATAACTAATGTACTATAGTAACAAACTTCACCCTGATAACTAATATACTATAATTACAAAGCTCACCCGATAACTAATGTACTATAATAACAAAGCTCACTCGATAATTAATGTACTATGAGTAACATTAGCCCATCTCCACTTCCCAATGTACTATAATATGAATACTGTCAGCTCACTCCCATATAATAACATGAACTCACTCCCACATCCTCATGTGCTACAGTAATACATGTACCACCTTTTACTTAACAGGTAAAAAAACACCATGTAGGTTTTGTATAATAACCATATGGAGCTAAAACAAAAGTAACACATTGTACAACTAATTGATAAGCACTTCCCAGTAACAACTTGCATTAAAATTGGTTTGTTTTAGGAGATATGAAACAAAAATAGCAAAAGTGAATTAAGGCAAATTGATCTTAATCTGTTGAAATTAAGACAAGTGAATGTATGGAGTTCCTGATCTGTGAGTTTTTTCTCTACCACAAAAGCCAGCGGCATTAGAATTCTCCCAGTCTGGTTTATTACAAGTTGGGACATGATTGCCATCTTTATGCTGTTTGAATCTCCTAAACTTTCATTTTCTTCTCCTGAATCTCTTCAAACTGTGCAGGTTGCTATTGAAAAAGAGATAATGGGATGGAAGCAACAAAAGCACCAATTTGTGTTATCTGTTGAGGGAAGTGATCACTCTCCAGTAGAATGAGTCGGTATGTTGACATGATTGATGCTGACCCATCCGGCTATCAGCTAGGAGGCGGCTATAATCTATATTAAAATTTGTTGTAGAAAAGAAGAAATCTATCCAGTCCATGAGTATTTGAAACTATTCTACTTTGTAACACCATAAAAGTGAGCAGAAACTGTTGGATAAAAGCTGGGGCAGACAAATGTTCTTCACATGGGTGCAGTTGGCACTTAAACCTACATAGTAGAAGTCCCCAGGGGCAGATCATCAAATAGGGAAAAACAGATAGACATTTTTTACAATGCCGCGATTATTCGATTAGAAGTAAAGAAACTTGAGACAATCTTTCATTGTAAGTTTTGTGTGGTTTTCTTTTTGATTTGGGATTTATAAGCTGTACATGTGTCCCAGCCTATTGGAAAACAAGTCATCATATTTGGGTTCCAAATGTGTTAGCACTGACTTACCATCACCTATTACCTCTGTGATTGTGTGAATGTACTAGAATCTGAACAGTTCACAGCAGAACTGCTTATAACTCACCATATTTAACAAATCATACAAATATGGAATGTCAAATGATTTTCTCATTGTCTCAAAATAAGAAATATGTCAATGTTCTGGATATCATCCAAAATGGGTTGATGTTATTTAAGTGCTATTTGATATTTCTGAACTTATAATGTTGGGTGTGCTTTGTAGAAATAGATAAAGGTATTGATACTCCAATACTGGGTGTGGTAAACAGATTTTCTTTTCCAAATATTCTAAAATATTGTAATTTTAGCAATGTATCACATTGAACCAAAGGAAACAACTCTTACAAAAATTAATTAGCACAGATTTACATGATTTGATTCACTGGCATTTCACAGATGAGACGCATATTTTACACAAAGCAATGTTTTCTAAGACCATTTGACCATCTTTTCTGTCAAAATGCTCACATATTGGGGTTTTTGTTATGTTTTTGTTTGAAACTATCTGCAATGCATTGTATGTGTAGTTTTTCTCTCCATGTCATTTCTTTGTAGCAGCGTTATGTTTGAAAATTTGTTCAGTGATTGACATTTATTTTAGATTTGTCAAAAAATACATTCCAAAATCGTAAATGAAGATCAAGTAATATTTTGGGGTGACATTTTAATGAAATTTCTGGACCTTTCTAGCCCTTGTCTGGTTCTCTGGTAGAATTTTACTATACTATAGTTTGCATAACTTGTTAAGGTAACCCTCAATCAATGTGACGATAATTACTGGTTGATTGTGTGGTCTCGGCTCATAACAGTGTTAACAACAATGACATTTCTTTATATTAGTTTCTTAATATAGAAATACTGATAATTAAAATTAAACCTGGATTTTTTTCCCATAGGAGAATTGTTTTAAGTTATATGTGTGATACAAAAACAATTGAAAGAAAACTTTTTCTTAGCATTGCATAAGGTTTATCATATTTGACGAAAAGCATATGCTTTGAACTTGATTGTATTGTCTGAAAGATCCTGGTTCCTGTTGCGTTGATATAAGCAGTGATATAAGAGATGTCAATATCTGTGCATTATTTGTATATAAACAAACGTTAATATATATACAGTCCATGCGCTGAACCTTATCCGGAGATGAGCCTGGCTTTGATTAACTTTGATTGATCAACTGGGTAAACACTGACTGGATAAGTAATTGTAAATTAATGGCTGTGAATTAATCCCATTAGTCATTGATTGGTCTGGCGGGACAAGCAGGGGTTGTAGGTGGGCTGTGCTGTCAACATGACCTTATAATGTGGGTACAAGATGGAGATAGATCACACACACACAACTATATATATATATATCTTTGTATGCGTGTCTACCTATAGCTCCCCCACAAACTTTTAATTCTTAGTGCGAAACCTGTTACACCGTGCTTTAATAAGAACTACTAAAGTGTTGAAAGAAGGATATTTGAGGAAGTGTATTTAAATTAAGGGTAACAATATACATTTAAAAAATTATAAATAGTCTTTTGATAATAAAAATACCATATTCTTCAATTGAACCGATTGACAAGTTTGTATTGTGTGAGCTTACCCTAAGTCTAAGCTTATTTGGCTGTGCAAGACTGATGATATCAGGCCCTATGTGTATATGGTCGTGTGAGTGGGTCGGGTCCATTCATACTTTCTGCTCATCCTTTTCTGCGGGACCAATTGTGTTTTAGCCCGCCATACAAACAACACAAGCAGGGCTGTTTTACTATCAATCTGTCAAGTGTCATAGCCTAGCAACTGACATGATATATTGGCTGAGCCGTCAGTGAGGGTCAGGGTCAGCAATCTCAAACTACTTAGTATAGACTGGCAATCATAGCACACACACATACACACACCGTCCTCAGTGTAGGTACCCACACTGCCATGTGCTTACTCCAGTAGTACCTGTACCCTCAGACGGACAGCTACATGTGTAGGTGTGAGAAGGCCCCACATGTGATGCACACGTACACAGTAGTACTACAGAGTGGAATTGTTTAAAACGTGTCTAGTAGCCAGTGTTATTGTGGAGATTCTGCAGAGGATTGTGTGCACCCTGGGGACCGGGTCAGCATGTGGAGTGATGTGGGACCGCCCCACCCTACCCATCACCTCCACATCCTCCTCACCCTCCTCCTCTCCCTGCTGTTCAACCTCCGCATCATCATCTACCACTACCCTGCATAGACCCATACCTCTACCCTTAAGTGTTGCTCAGGACAAGGATTGGCTACTTATTCGTACAAAGATGCCTGTCTGTATCTGGCCAGATACCTGTCTCTTGGGATGTGCCCTTAATGATGTTGGTCACCCGGTAAGTCTCCTACATCAAATACAAGTTTTGAGGAAAACTACATTTTGAATTTGGTGATTGAAACAGCTCTTTCTCTTCAGAATGTTGTCTTTAAAATTACGAATGCCATTTTTTATATTTATTTTTAAGAAAAATCTATTTTCAGTATTTATTTGAATATTAACATTAGCAATAGATTGTTTGTTGAAAAATCAGAAAGTTTTTCTTCATTAAAAAAAAAAAGAGAATCTTATTAGAACATTGAATTTAACTAAATTTCTGTGTATTTCTTTGTATTTATTTTTGGGAGCTGTAAATGAAGTTACCCATTTCAATACCTTTTCTGAAAGAATTAGCCAAAACACCTAAGCTTAATGGTGTGTTTAATGAGTATTGGTTTGTATTTCTATAAGACAGCTGTAATTTAATATACACTTTTGTCGACCTGTTAATTGTACATTACGTTGGAGACTTGTTGGGTAATTTTTTCGTGGACTTAGAGTGTGTGTGGCTCGCTTGTCAAACTAGAAATCTTATCTTGTGATGAGATGCTGATTGCTTTGTCAGCCTGCACAACAGCCTTTAACTACTGCTTCTTCATATATACCTTTATCTTACGGATAGAATGTCTTCTTAATAGTCAACCTATCATAGCTTTTCTTCTCCTGAATAAACGGCCAGAAAATGTAGAAGTTGGTGTTAGGGAGGGTAAATGAGATTTTTGTCACCTGATCTAAAGCTTGGGGAGCTATCAGGACAACAAGTGTCAATGGTAATTGTGTTTGGCAGCCAACATTGTGATATATCCCTCAGTGTCATGAAAGTATTTATGCTTCCATAGGCGCTGGCTGACATGACAAGCATTATTGACTTTAAACTCATTGTCCGAGGATTTTTCTAGGGCACCAGGTATTTAACACTCATTTCCGGGTGTTTTTGGAGTCCGAGGGGTTATCTCTCCCTGCTTTACAAGCCTCTAAAAAATATTTCCACTGCTCTAAATATTTTAAAACAAAGCCAGACTTGTCCTAAAATATCAGACGCATAGATAACGTTAATAAAATGTGCCTTAATCAAACCACACTGCCTAATAAAATTAAGTGCAAGTTCATATTTGTATCTGATCTTGAATGGGCCCCTGCACTCATTTTCTGTGATGGACGTGTGTCACAGTGGAAGAGTCCAAGTGGTAGGGAGGAGCAGCATGGCCGGTGGGTCATAACCGGGCCATTATTGGTGTTAAAGATCAATTTGTTTTTACTTATTGTGTCATGATGGTGTAGTATTGGACTGTTGCCACCTAAATTGATATACAGAGGTAGATAATGAGTGTATTTGGAGCATTGTTTTGCCAGCCTGGTAGCCTGCCTTACACATGGCCGACCGTCCCAACTGCCAACAGAATTTCATTTTTGTCATGCTCACTGAGGCTGACATCAAACATCAATATACTACCCAATGCTTTCATGATTAATGATTAAACTACCAGTGAAAAACCCTTGCATAAAACTTAGCATACTTTATAGGTTTTAGCAATATACATATTTGAGATGGTTTGATCGACTGTTTATTTATTCATGAAATGTAGTTCTAACTCAGGAAAGGTCACATATCATGCGAGAAGGTTGGAGTATTTGTTAAAAATAGTAATAGAATGAGACTGGTAAAATTTCTCTCCCAAAAGTATAAATGATATCCTCCCAGCATTGTATGGGGAGGGGGTAACAGGTACAAGGCTGTGGCATTTCACATCAGAGGATCATCTGATGCCAAACTCCTTCTCCACATTGATCCCCTCCTGCTATCTGACACTTCTGTAGGGGCCCACCACAGGGGCACAGGCAGGTTTACTATTTATTTTATCAAATATGATTTGTATGCATTGGAGCAATTCTGAGGAAGATTTGTGTGACTTTAGTATTGGTGTTGAATATCTCTGTAGTACTGTTTATTTCAGTTTGTGGAGAGTTTGACCACACTGTAAAGTAGACTCCTGTCTGTGGGGTGGGAGCGTGTCCTAGTCGTTAATGAAGAAGAAAATTCAAACATTGAATTTAGAATCTTGACACCTCTGTGTGTCAGAATGTGTGGGGGGTGGGATGGGGGAGGGGGTGTAGATCGTGTTCACTCCACATATGGCAAGCAAGTGGGAGCCTTTTACTTGTATTGTTTTCCCACCCACAGTGATAAGTGACTCCTGAGCCAAAAATGGGATACAAGATGTAATTAGTATGATTAAAATGTAGAAAACTGACCAGTTAACCTTTCCTAGTTAGGATGGTTAATGAATTAAACCTCATTTAAGTTATTAGTAATGTCCAATACGAGTTGGAAATATCACTACTGCGGCAATATGCCAGTAAACATTTACAATAAATGTTTAAAGAGACCTTACAAAAAATTGTGAATTCATATATTTATGTTTTTTATTGACAGCTATGTTTGGACGAGTGTAAATGCAATTAATGGAGTTAGATTAAATATGTCCAAGGTAAAGAGGAGAACAAAATCTAGGTAAAATTCTGATGACGAAAGGTGGTCTATTTTATTTGAAATTTCCTTTTTTTCTTAATAAGTGACTTCAATAATTTTCTGAAAAGCTGCTTTTGTAGACAAAAAAAGTTCGGCGGGAAGTTTTACATGTCTGACTGCCAAAGATAAACGGCTATTAAACTTACTTTATGTATTTTAACACTTTTTCGCTTTGCTTTTTTCAACTTCCCCCCTTTCTCTTCAAAATGACAAATGGGGCTATCCATTATTATTGGATGTCTGTGGTCGGTGGCCCTGGTGTAAGATACCAGGGTTTATCTCCGACTTTTACACAGGTCAGTATGTTGGACTGTGAAATTTAAAGCCCTGTTATCATTTCCCTGAAATCATATGATGCAATATGGTAAATGTACTCTGTTGTATGTTGTTCCCAGTTTGTGAGGATAGCAATGAAAAGTGCCAGGGGTAGAGGGATAGTGTCGTGGTAGACTCCCTCGGGGCCAGACTACACCACCAAACATGGCCCTGGAATGATAAGCATAATCGAGAGGAAAGCCATTGTCTCCAACTATGTAATAAATGTGATGTTGGTCTACACTAATGTTAAGTTTTGCCACAAATTAACAGCCTTTGAGTTTTATCCTGGGTATTAATCATGGCTTGTCTGTAGTATATTGATAGGTCTGTCCAGCAATCCACCACTGAAGGACCAGGACTGTCCTGTCCAAAGACCCTAGTATCCATACACTGTTATATGGGGAACCTAAAGCATCCATACACTGTTCTATCGGAACCCTAAAGCTATACATTTGGGGGAGGGGTGCAGGACTGAACTGTCCGAAGAATTTTCCAAAGGCCATCAATGCACTGTTCCAGGGGTCAAATCTGTCCAAAGATGTACTGTCCTACTGCCATCAATATAATGTTCTTAGGTTTAAGGACTGTCCAAAGACCTATCCTAATTTAATCAATATGCTGTTCTGGAGGTCTTCACCAGTCCAAAGACCTTTCCTGGGATGTTTTCATTCACTGTATCACAGTCCAGGACTGTCCAAAGATCTGTTCTAATTCCATCATTACATCCTTATACACCCTCTCTAGAGCCATACATGGCATCATCCTTTCCAGAACCAGCTTTCATTGCTAACTAAATAATGAATAAGGTTCAAATAATGTGGAATTGATTAATGTACAAACATGAATTATTAACATGAAAATGCAGATGTATTATATTTCAACAGTAATGATGGTTGGTATGTGTGCCGTTCACACTTGAGTGACTGAAGTGTCGACTAATTGTCAGTCCTCTACTGTCCTCGATCCTCAGCCCACCCTGCTAGGTCTTAGACATCTTTTATAAAAGTCCATAATTTGGACATTGCAAATGAGTCAACTCAAATATTTTAATCTTTAAGAAAAGTAGGATGTCTTAATTTTAGATATCATTTGCATTTTGAAACTGAACTATCTCACTTGATTGATAAAAATACCCAAAAGATTCCCGGACAAATTATATTGTCCAGAATTTCAAAATGATTCTAACACCATATCTTTCAAGTAAAACAAATTCTTTATGCCACATTTCTAAATGCTGTCATTTCTAACAATGTGTTGCTGGTCTTGAGCTTCTGTATGGGGACGTAATAACGGACAGACCTTTGTCTGTCTATCACCTGTCTGTAAGTCACGTCTAGGCTGTGTTTGTATTTCATTTCTCAACAATTGCTTCAACATCTTTAAAAGCAATTTATTTTATGAAAAAATGAGTGGTGAAAGGGGGGAACAAATGAACTAAAATCCATGAAATAAACAAGCCGAACTTTATGCTTGACCAAATATCTCATAAATTAGCGCATTATTCAGGTGAGTGTTATTCATGCGGAAAGATGAGTGGGGGTTGAATACACCTCGTTACACCACAATCGTATCGTGATGACCAGCTCTGACAAACAAACACAGCCATTGGGGGGAAAATCTTTATGTTTTATTTATTTCGGCCGACTGATTCATATATCATTCTGTTTGTGTACCCTTTGTGTAATTTGTGACATATGCAAGACAAAATACTAGGATGTTTATTTAAATATCACACAGCCAATAGTTTATTGTGGTGTCAAAAATGGGGCCCTGCCCTCAATTAAAACACAGTCAAGATAGATGTACTGTGGAATTGGACCACACAATTATTTTACACTGACAGAAACAAAATATTTATGCACTCAGTTTACGTTTTTTTTAAGAAATACAACATTCAAAAAGTTACTGTAATGACTTAATGTCATGTTTAAGAAACTTATCCCTATAAATATAACTTGTTCTGTCGCAATATAATATTTGCTACAAATTGTGATCAATCTTAATACTCAGTGCAGGTAAATTTCAAAACTTCTGTATTTTTTCAGATAAATAGAATTTTTCCAAGATATTATTTTGGTGTATTTTAAATAGGTAGAAGAGATAAATTTTGATTTTAATTGATATTTGATATTCTTGTTTGTAAAAAGATAAGTTTTGAAAAAAATCAGCATTGTTGACTGATTTGAATTATGTCTATGAAAATATAATTGCATATAACAGGAAGTCTTTTTGAAATTTCATTAACAGTACGAATTAATTAAACAACTCCAACCCAGCGTAGTTAAGTTTTAGCTGATATATTTATTACAGTACTTCAACTGTCTGGCGTAAAATTAATTAAACAAGTTTGTACATCTATATTGAGTGTATGAAATGATTTTATTCCTTTGGTTATTTGTAAATTAGTATTTTAATTTGTATGTTTTTGACTTATGTAGATATATGAATCTTATTTTACTGCAGTTATTGTGGAATCCTATACATAGATATTAGTATTTAGTGAATTTTGTTGTTGAGAAGATTCATTTTATAAATGTTAAGTTTTGTTGTTAATTCATATTCCAGTAAAACAATCATCAGAATTTCTTTCACTCTATTTACAATATAATGTTATTACATTATTGCCAAATATTACTGACAAATACACTTATCAAACTTGTGTACTATATGAACTAATTTATATACGGTTTTAATAGAAATAATCAATTATGATTGTGATAGAAGGTTATGCAAGCTGTTGTTGAAAAAGGTTTTTTTCATTTGTTTTATAGAATTTAGCTGATTTAAATAATCTTGTATTTTTCAGGGGAGTAAAGTTTCCATGGTACAGCCTCCCCTTCCGGGGTTTGTGATGTACAACGGTGAACACTTATCACAACCTCCTCCGGCTCATATGGGCATACCTCCAATGCACATAGATCCCAAAACAGGTAACGATTCAGGCATAATGAAACCAGTGTAATAATTACTGTCAAACCTGTAAAACTGGAACCTGGAGGTGACAAAAATCCTCCCGACTTGTAAACACATTATCAGGTTCTGACCTTATACATAATATTTTCCTCATACAATTTAACACCCTATTGCTCACTACAGGGTATTTTCCTTTGTCAGACTAGTTTGAGTGGAGATAGTTTTACTTTACAGTAATGGTAGAACTGGTTAGTCTGGCTGCCTACTGTACTAGTTTGAGTGGAGATCGTTTTACTTTACAGTAATGGTAGAACTGGTTAGTCTGGCTGCCTACTGTACTAGTTTGAGTGGAGATCGTTTTACGTTGCAAAACTGAGCTCTGATCAGTGCTAGTAAGTCATTATATATAAGACAAATCTAAATAATACATCAATCAATGAAATGTGTTCAATAAATAGTTCTATATCATAGGCTTTGGTTAATATCTTATTCAATTTTCTCTCAAGATTTATTTATTTGATATTGTCTAACACGTTTTTTTAGCCAATTATATATGGTATAACCCTGCATGACAAAATGCAAAAGTGAGATTCAAAGATTATGATGAAAACATTTATTTTTACTCAAAGTACATTCCAACCTTCTTCTGAATGATCTGCATAAAACTGTGCTGATTAAAGACCAGTAATATATATACAGATCACCTGTGCAACCTCCACACCTACTCCATATGTGGTGCTGCTGTACTGGACAGACTGCTCTTTGATGTTTCCTTTGTAGTTGTACAAGATACATGCTAACGAGATTTACCTTTAGCCGAGTCACTAATTATAACGGGGTTTCCAATGGTATCAAACATCAATGTATCAAACAGTTTGAACCCACAGCCAGCATGAAATATTTTATGTTAGAGAAAGATTTGTGGAATTGCTATGTCTAGTGATGATATACCCTACTACCTATAATGTGGTATTGTATGGTGGTACTGTTACAGGGTACAAGATGACATTAGTAGGCATTAATTACCATTGTGATGACCTAACTCTTATCCATGATGTATGGGTAGCTTGCTGAAGTACTCAAGTACCGTAGGTTAATGGGTGCATACCCTATTTTCTCCAGTATTATCTACAAATGCATTATAGATGATCAAAGCGTCTCGGTACACCACTCATCACCTACAGCATCAATTCCTCATTGTTTTTAGACAGGATCAGGGGAGTCAATTCTAATACTAGCTTAAAAGCATTGTAAGGTAAGTCTTACAAATAGTGTTTTATGTTCTGCGAGCAGGAAACTGAAAGTTAGCCTACTTCAAATGAAAAGGAATATTTCTGAATTTGGCTTGTGAAGTCAGAATTATTGTATGGGGTGATCTTAATGTTTCATTAAATTAGAATGAGTCATAGCCACTCTAAAATGTCATCAAAAAATGCTTAAGATGTTTAAATATTTTCTTGACATGCTCACTTGTAAGGGGGGCGGGGGAGACTTTTTTCCATGCTGTAGAATGGATCGTGGGATGAAAAACAGGCAGCAAAGGTTACAGTGAGGACAGACACACAAATGGGGAGAACAGATATAAGACAGATAGACAAGGTTCTGGGGGAGGTAGGCAGACAGACAAGGTTCTGGGGAAGGTAGGCAGACAGACAAGGATCTGGGGAAGGTTGGCAGACAGACAAGTTTCTGGGGAAGGTATGCAGACAGACAAGGTTCTGGGGAAGGTTGGCAGACAGACAAGGTTCTGGGGAAAGTAGGCACACAGACAAGGTTCTGGGGAAGGTATGCTGACAGACAAGGTTCTGGGGAAGGTTGGCAGACAGACAAGTTTCTGGGGAAGGTATGCAGACAGACAAGGTTCCGGGGAAAGAAGGCAGACAGACAAGGTTCTGGGGATGGTAGGCAGACAGACAAGGTTCTGGGGAAGGTTGGCAGACAGACAAGGTTCTGGGGAAGGTATGCAGACAGACAAGGTTCTGGGGAAGGAAGGCAGACACAAGGTTCTGGGAAAGGTAGGCAGATAGACAAGGTCGGGGGAAGATAAACAGGGTTTGTTTTTACTTTTCATTGGTAACAATTATCTAGGGTGCAAGCAGTTTGATAGGATGGGGCATGTCACACCTGTCTGCATACTGGGTCCCAATCACGCAAGGATAGTGGCAGTTTGTAAAGTGTAACAAGTGAATCAACTCGGGCTGTTCAGCTAATATATTTATAAATATGGAAGTGTAAAATAAATCTGATGTTTGGTGTATAGCTGAAACATAATTGTAATGATCTAGTCATTGTACAAACTTTTATGGGAAATGAGCTGAGGACAAATATTCCTTTTGTTATAAGTGAGTCATCTAATAATGAGATTTAATAAAAAAAAAAATGATATCTTGTGACAAGAGAAAAAAGTATTGTAGATGTGTGATGAAACGAAGATAGGTGGAGTGTCTATTAGGTGGGGGGTAATGAGGTAGGAGATGCCACAGTGTAGCAGGGACTCCGATATCACTGATGATTGTTAACATGTTTATCTGATACGGCTATCAAAGCTAAACATGGACAGGTAGATACAGTGTGTGTTAACTTATCAGGATGACTTGTCAAATCATCGTTTAATGTACAAATACTCCGGCTCACAATTGATTTCTGTTGTTGTACACAAACATAATGATGTGTTGCAGCACTGAATCTACTAAAGTGCTGTTGATAAAAAATTCAACATGACAAGTGCAGTAAAAAATGCTAATGGCCTGTTATGACTGTCACAGTTATAAATACATGAGCTAAAAATTCTTGACAGACAATAAGCAGGCAAATTTGTTTGTGATGATGATTCAGGGTAAGGTGGAAACAGTTCCTCCTATACAAGTGTCTCAATGACCCTGACACATTGTGGTTACAGTAGTGTCCTTAACGGCCACTCGAGGGCCACTTGGCCATATCCTTCCGAGAGATTCCCACACTTACAGTACTGTACCATGGCCGAATCATTCACGCTTCCTCCTCATCTAACATGTTCATTATCATCGCATGGCTCTCCAGAGGAAAGAGAACATGGCACTAGATGTGTCAAATACAAAAATTATGTTTGAAGACTGCCTTCTTTTTCTGAAAAATACATCTTAGAATTTAAAACAGGTCAGCAAAATATTATTTTCATTATGTTTAATGTTGAAGAAAACTCGACTTCAGTTCAGTTTTAATATTCTAGTTACACCACAACTACATGGAGGATGTAACAGAGAATATCTCATGCATGTTTTCAAGGTACTGGCTGACACATGTATATATAGCAGGAGGGATTTTGGTGTTTAAATCATAAGGATTATATAACATGGGAATAAAATACAAAATATGTAACTTACGTGAGTACACAATTCACATTTAGTGTTCCAGTAAATTATGACGAGACAATAGAACAAAAAGTCAGCACTTAGTAGGGCTGTTCATGGGGTAATAGGTATGTGTATGTAAGCTAGCTGTGTGACACTACCTAGTAGACCTGTTCGTTACAGGATATTCAGCAAATATTGACATCAAGGTTCATCTTACAATCATTATTATCCTGCCACAGAAAATGTGTCACCATCCGCGAGACAATTACCATAAAATCTGAGGATGATTGGAATCGGGTTAGGGTGTTAAGTTCCCCAAACCCAAACATCTTGTAAATTATCTCCATTTATTTAAAATTATCTGGTTAAGTTTTTTGGGAATTGGTGAAAAATTATGGAAGAGAATCCTGCTGTTTTGCGTAATCAGTTGCCTGTGCATGCGTGCATGCCAGTGAGCCTTAGAGATTAGTGTCTGTTACATACTGCAGACTTCTCCAAAGTGCTATCCAGGGGCCGGGCATGGTCCGATTTATCTACACATTTGGCCCAAGTGCCGCTTAATTCAATTTTGCAGCACAAGATATTTCCTTTGCCTTATCATGCTGTGACAGCTTAGAAATCTGATTGGATTGAAATAGCCAGAAGATTTTGAGTGACTTGTGTGTGTTGAATTTGTTATTGAAAACAGTGGAATTGACTCACACAGACACATACACCAACAAAATCATTAATACAAAATTCTGAAAATTTACACTTTACACATTTTAATTCCCTCATACATCGTAATTTTAAGTTATTGTTCAAAATATATGACACATCACTGAGGTTTCGGTACATTTGTTGTATTCCGTTTTTCTTTCTGTACATCTTCAATAGTATGTCAATATTTTGACAGTTTTCAGTATAGTTTATTGGGGTAAGCCTAACTAAGTTAAGTTACTATGGTATAATAATCTGGTCTAACACAATTACAACTACATCCATCGAGGATATATCTTCTCCCATAAGCAAATCTTTTGTATTTAAATTCAATGTGATTTGAATAATTTGAAAGTGAGAATAATAATTATGGTAGGGTTGAATTTTTGCAGTCACAAAATAAAAGTTCATCTAGTTTAAAGACAGAACTCAATAACTGCAAAAGTGCCTGCTATTCCTATTGAATATTTGTAAAAGTTTTTGAGTTGTTATTAATGGGTTTATTTGGATATTACCACAGAGGACTGGGGAGTAAGTTATGCTGTGTGTTGTTATTAATGGGTTTATATGGGTATTACCACAGAGGACTGGGGAGTAAGTTATGCTGTGTGTTGGTATTAATGGGTTTATATGGATATTACCACAGAGGCCTGGGGAGTAAGTTATGCAGTGTTTTTATTAATGAGTTTACATGGATATTACCACAGAGGACTGGGGAGTAAGATATGCTGTGTGTTTTTATTAATGGGTTTATATGGATATTACCACAGGACTGGGGAGTAAGTTATGCTGTGTGTTGTTATTAATGGGTTTATATGGATATTACCACAGAGGACTGGGGAGTAAGTTATGCAGTGTTTTTATTAATGAGTTTATATGGATATTACCACAGAGGACTGGGGAGTAAGTTATGCTGTGTGTTGTTATTAATGGGTTTATATGGATATTACACAGAGGACTGGGGAGTAAGTTATGCTGTGTGTTGGTATTAATGGGTTTATATGGATATTACCACAGAGGACTGGGGAGTAAGTTATGCTGTTTGTTTTTATTAATGAGTTTATAGGGATATTACCGCAGAGGACTGGGGAGTAAGATATGCTGTGTGTTGTTATTAATGGGTTTATTTGGATATTACCACAGAGGACCGGGGAGTAAGTTATGCTGTGGGTTTTTATTAATGAGTTTATAGGGATATTACCGCAGAGGACTGGGGAGTAAGATATGCTGTGTGTTGTTATTAATGGGATTATATGGATATTACACAGAGGACTGGGGAGAAAGTTATGCTGTGTGTTGTTATTAATGGGTTTATATGGATATTACCACAGGACTGGGGAGTAAGTTATGCTGTGTGTTGTTTTAATAAGAATTGATGCAGTGTACCTTATTTTATTCAAATTTCTTTTATTTATTGTTTGTAGGGTTACCACGACCACCAATGTATGCTTACCCAGCCCCCTCACAGTTTCCACCAGGTTTATACGGTCCAGACCTGTCGCAAGTGCAATGGTAAGTTGCTGCCTCTTTTAATATCTATTACCTTTTTCTCATTAATATAAATGGATGAATTATCGGTCATACTGTTTAGACTAGAGGAAGCAAATATGGGGGGTTGTAAAACAAAGGTCCAGTGAGGGTTATGGTGGGTTTATTGGGCAGCATAAGTGCTGGCGAGATACAGCTGCTGACTCCAAGGTGGTGACCATCTGTTTAGGAGGACAGGACAGGCTTCTCTGTCACCACCCAGACACTTGACTCATAATTTATAATTATGGTTACTTTTTTATGGACTCTTAACCCAGTCGGGTCCCACTCCATCCCATACCATCTTCTGTGCTGTACAGTGCTCATAAAGATGGAGAGGCAATCTACTTCTCCAAAGCTAGTTGTTTCTAGGTACATTCTGTTGACGGTTAATAGCCTGTGAGACGCACAGGATGGTGGGGCAGTGGTACACAGTTATTGAATATTGTCATGTATGTCATTTTATGATTTATTGTTTTATTGCAGCTTCACAGTCTTCATAGAAGCAGGGGAAAGAAAGAACTTTTTTTCCTTAAAACATTTGAGGTTTAGTTAACGGGAAAATATTTTTAATTGAATTAACATTTCATGATATAGTTGATAACCTTGACTTTTCTCCTTGAGGTGGTGATCCTAGTGTGCAAATTAGTTCCCTGTTTTCTGGTCCTAGATTAGTTCTTCCTCAGACCTACTGGCAAGGGTTTTCCCTCAGACGTACTGGCCAGGCAGTGATTGGTCTTGTTTTCTGGTCCTAGGGTTGTTCTCCCTTAGATGTACTGGCCAGGCAGTCTGTTTTCTGGTCTGAGGGTAGTTCTACCTCAGAAGTTCTGGCCAGGCAGTGATTGGTCTGTACTCTGGTCCGAAGGTAGTTCTCCCTCAGAAGTTCTGGCCAGGCAGTGATTGGTCTGTACTCTGGTCCGAAGGTAGTTCTCCCTCAGAAGTTCTGGCCAGGCAGTGATTGGTCTGTGCTCTGGTCCGAGGCTAATTCTCCCACAGAAGTTCTGGCCAGGCAGTGATTGGTCTGTGCTCTGGTCCGAGGGTAGTTCTCCTCAGAAGTTCTGGCCAGGCAGTGATTGGTCTGTGCTCTGGTCCTAAGACGTAAGCAAGCTGATGATGTAACAGATCTGACCACATAATGATGCTCATCAGACCTTTGTTGATTCTACAACAAATGGTTTGATGATGTGAGTGCCATATTATAGGATGTTAGGCAGGTCAGGCGTGGTCTGGCCACAAACGGGGATAGGGATCAGGTAGTCTCCATTAGGCCGGGGTTAAAAGCAACACATACCTTTGGTACAGGTCTGCATACCATAATTAGCAATTAGCATCTCCCACATATGCTTTGTAGAGGCAAATATTCTTCTTTGTCCTCCATTCAAAAGCAAACATGAAGGCGTTTATCTGTACTCAATCTTTTTGGTTGCCTTTATTCTTGTCCAAGAGTGTCCTACATATTAGCTTGGCGTTTTGTACGTAGTCTCGGGCCCAAGCCCTCTCTCACCCGGTGTTGGTAGATGTGCTAATCTTAGGCATGTATTGCCTTTGTGCTGGCCTCTCCTCACTTACCAGCCCTCTGAATTTATTAATCTGTTTCATTTTATGAGAGATGGGAAGTAATTGGTGGAGAAAGAGAAGGTTCTTTTGATCCTTTGTTAGTTATTGCATGGAATCTCTTGGGAAATTTGTTCAACTTTTCATCTTTGTTCATTGTGTTGTTTAAGTTGAATGTTCCGACATGATGTACATGTTCCGAGCCTGTCCCCGTTATGCATATATACTGCTGTGAGAGAATTATAAATTAGCTGCTAGTTAATATGTTGTATCATTTCTTACATCTTTTAACAAGGTATTTGGTAATATGAATATTGATTTGGTTACAACTGGTAATTACAGGGCACAAAGGCTTGTTGTACATAATATGTCTGAGAGAAATATAATTACATGTGCCATCTTTTGTGTGTTTTTCTATTTAAAAAAAAAAATCAAATTTATACTTTGTGGTCATTTAATCATTCTTTGATGATAAAGTATAGTCAAAAGGCCCATTGATCCTTTAAATAGAGTGATAATTAGATTTTCAAAGAACAAATGCTTTTCATGTGTTAATTTTTTGGAGGTTTCATATTCATTCAACATATTGACAGTAAACAATATCAATACCTGGTAATTATGAAAAGAGGGCCTGATTTTGTAATTTAAACTCAAATATGTAGAAAGGTTGAATATTTTTGAAATTGAATATTTCTTCATACGTTCAGTTAAACTAATTAGAACTAATGGGAAAATAGATTATTCTGGCATTTGTTACCATTGAAATCATTGAAATCAAATAAAGAGGTCTTTTCTTTGAATATATATTCCAAATGTATTTATTTGACACAACCAGTAAACATGGTGCCCTCTTATTATGCCTTAACAATTGCAAAGTAAAATGCCAAACAAGTGCAAGTTGTACTTTTTTTTCTATAGGCTTTGGTTTCAAAGGATGATACCAAATGTATTTAAAAAAATACATGTGTCTGCAGGCTTTCTTTAAGGTCTTTAAAATCTCTAGTTTCTCCTATAATATTGAATACACTGATACATGTTCATGTTAACTGTATGCCTATATAGTACAATGCTGTAATAATTATGAATCTACTGTAATAATTGTATATATATCACTAATGCACAGAGCTGTAAGGATTGTATTGCGTTGCTGTAATGATTGTATGACAATGTTGTAATTGTGTTCCAGGCAGAGACAAGGGTACCCCATCTCCTCAGGTGCCTTCTCCGGGGCATACCCACCTTCATTATTAAACTCAAGTGCATTATCACGGTTCGGCCATCCTGGCCTATTCCCACCCCCGGGCATTCCCCACCCAGGCATGCCTCACCCCACCTTAATGTCACCAGCCAATAAACAGGATGGAGGACAGCATCCCCACGGCCAAGATAGGTAAGCCATTCTCTCTCTACCAGGTTCAATGTTTATCTTATAAGGATATACAGATATATAGATAGATTTCTTCAAGTGTGTAACTTCTTTTGTATATAAAGTTAGATTTGTAGATTATAAAGATGTACATAAAATAAGGTAATAAGGAAGTATGAATATGGTACACAAAACTAGATCTCAAGATTGAAATCATGTACATAAGTTAGGTGTGTCGCTAATAAGGTTTGTTGCTTATAAAGTTACCAAAACTCTTACTAAATGTTTGTGTAAAGATGTGGAGTTAACATTGTCTACCAATCCTGTTTTATCTGTGTTGACCTATTTCCTTACAGTCTTGTAACGGCTGCTGTTTTGTAATAAACAAAAGTGTTAATTCTTGCTGTAATATTGATGTAAATCGCGGTAAAATCAGGGATAAATATGTAGATCTGATGACCATGGTCATCACTACCCCCAATAATCCTACGTTGTTTTACTTACAGAATGAATGACCAAGGGGGCAGTGGCCACAATCAGCGGGAAGAACAAGAAAAGAAGAAACCTCATATAAAGAAACCTCTAAATGCCTTTATGTTATTTATGAAGGAGCAACGGGCCAAAGTGGTAGCAGAATGTACATTGAAAGAATCTGCAGCAATAAACCAAATTTTAGGTAGAAAGGTAAGTTGACGACAAGCATATGATTGAAGGGAACTAACTCAACCTAAATATTTAGGAGATTTTATTTGCTAATTTCTTTTAATTTTAGCAGATATTGACTGTGTCTATTGCATACTAGATTATTTGTTACAAATTATTCATGTTTGATATACCGGTATATAATTATTCATGCATACTTAGAGCTGTGAATATTGTGTTATTCTGAGATCTGAAAGTCATGGAAATTGGTTATTTTCCTGTGTATGGACTAAGACAGGTCTAGTTTGTGTTGATCATATATAGACTAGAGTTTGTAGACTTGCTCAAGTCAATATATAGATAGCAAAATAAGTGATATACATGGCGACTGATGGCCAGTCTAGAAATAACAACTTGATTCTGATACTCGTGTAGACTCGGATGCCATTAGCGTCTAATTGGTTTTACATCAATTTGTATAAGTTTGCTTAGAAAAAGCAGCAAATGAAATGTTTTAGTAGGGTTTACATTATGCTTTCCTGATTTCAGTGGCATGCACTAGATAGGTCAGAACAAACAAAATATTATGAAATGGCAAGGAAAGAAAAAGAGCTACATTTACAACTGTATCCCGGCTGGAGTGCCAGAGATAACTATGCTGCACACACTAAGAAAAAGAGGAAAAAGAGAGACACTCCATCAGGTCATGCAGGTAGGTTTATATTTTATGTAACTGTCTTTTTTTTTTATTTCAGTGGCATGCACTAGAAAGGTCGGAACAATCTAAATATTATGAAATGGCACGGAAAGAAAAAGAACGACATTTACAGTTGTACCCCGGCTGGAGTGCCAGGGATAACAATGTTTCACAGTCTAAGAAAAAGAGGAAAAAGAAAAACACTCTTGCACAGACCAGAGGTATGTTTTAGTTTGTCTCCCACTAGAGAGTGCACGGCTGCATGGACGGTGAGGACACGAGGCCAGACTAGTCCATGTGCTGTAGAGGAGATATTCTAGAACACTTAACATCAACGGTCTATGAATGGCCCTGTAACACACTCTATATAGACAGGCAACAAATTAATTATTCACACATGAAAGGCTAAACACTGGAGCCAGGCAGACATAAATCCTAATAATACAACATCTATAACTGACAAAGCTGTGGAGGACCTATAAGCAGCTCGGGTTGTACAGCTTGATCTGTGTGCTTATTTCACTATCTCATCATTTACAAGTTATGAGCGAAAAGGGTATGGTTAACTTTTAACTTAACCTGGAAATGAAAATGATTTGGCTATGTTAATGTTTCTTATTCATCAAACCTAGAAAACAAAGCAACTTTGGCTATTTGGATTTTATATGGCCATCAAATTTTTTGATGAGACATGTTGTGGTAAGCATACTTGGTAAGCATGTACAATATGCAAAGACTAGAGTTTGAAGTTGACCAAAATTTGTGCAAAATTAATTACCATACTGTGCTCTGATTGGTTGGCAATGTCCATACAATAACTTCACCAAATATGACTGGATTCTGATGAAAATGGTTAATATCCATGTCATATTGTTCCAGCCCTGCAGTACTCTTGTTATTAACTTGGAATCCCTAGAAGTTGTAAAATGTATGTAACAGAGGTCATTATTTTTCAATGCCTCCGCTAGGAGTCGAACCCTGGACCTCTGGTTTACTAGTGTTGTAATGTACCCAATGTGTTAAATAGAGAAATTTTACCATGGTGACATACTCCCCCTCCAGGAGAAATTCTACCATGGTGACATGCTCCCCCTCCAGGAAAGAACTTGAATGACCTCTGTTATATGTAGTTGATAAAATTCATTGTGATGATGTAGATAAAAAAGAAACATTCAACTCGTATTACAAATGGCATTGCTTGCAAGGTCACAAGGGTTCAAAAGGGTGTGTTTTTTTAATTGAAAGCTAAGTATAAAAAATGACCTGATGAAAGAGTTGATTTGGTGTTTTTTTGTGATATGAAAATATGTATGCCTTTAAATCTTTGTCGTAGTAATTTAATACTTTTTTTGAAATTTTCTAAAAAACAAATTCTGCTTTACAGATTGTACAATTGCAAAAAAGTGTCGAGCGCGTTATGGTCTGGAGCAGCAGGGACAGTGGTGTAAGCCTTGTCGGTAAGTTCAAGTCACCATGCACAGAGACGTGGCTAATGCAGAAAAGTGTCACTCCTCATAGCCACTGTTTCTTCTAGACAGCATTCAAATGAGACACCAGTAAGCTGACAAATATCGCTAGGTTGTAAAACCCACATTTATGTACATTTACTTAGACGTTTAACATCCAACAGTTTCAAATATTTCAGGCTTTTAGGGATAACTTTCAAAATAAAAAATCTTTTTTTGGTCATTTTGGCAAATGGAGTACTTATTTAATATGATTGGACATGTCTATGCTGTTGCTCGAGTTTCTCTGATACAGGGCTGTGGTTATTGATTTTCTTGGCCCTATCTTGTCTACCATGTTTTGTGATATTGACAGTTAAACAAATCCAAACTTGCTATCACAGTGTCGGAGTGAAAACCTGACAACTACGTTGACTCAAACACTTTTTCATTTGCTGACATATCATTTATAACACTGGCTCTCTTCACAATCTTGATCTTCCAAACATATGGCAAATGTCACTATTATTGAATTAGAAAGAAAACAATGATAGGTCCTATTTTTTTGTCCTATTGACTGTTGCTATATTGCATGAAGTTTTCTTTACATGTGTGTGTATTACTTGATGAAGAAGCGACAAAAGTACACGATGTGTAATGACACAGTACCTGTGTCAGTAGAGTGTCTCGTTTGAATTGCCACACATGGGGGATTATTGTTGTTACGTACAAGGCATGCGGGGGTCATCATCAGATCATTGCACATTGTACCTTTTTTGGGTCTACACATGTAGAATCCCATGTATCGCCATGCATTGATTTGTTTTTACAGAGAGTGCCACTAGTCTGTGGTCCCGGTGCGGTCAGGGGCGGAGGATTGGGAGTGCAGGGTGATGTGCCCATGTATCTTTCCTACAATTCATACTACGCCACTTTTAACAGACAACTTTTCTGCAATGGCCATCTTGTCTCATTTCAGATCAATGCATGAAACGTGTGATCATGATCAGACTGCTGATATAAAACCGACAATCTCCACAGAGGTATCGTCAGGTATACCATTTGACCTGCACGTATGCTGCCGCAGCTCGCATGCTACATATACTATGCAGTCTGCCTTGCCATTAATGCTTGTTTTCTTATCCTAGCTGCAGCAGGCTGGATTCAGCATTTTTACACTCGTAACTGCATAATGTTGAGTTTGTTTGCCTCATTCTTGCCTAAATTTATTCTGCATGTTGCCATAGCAACAATAAAGGCATGTTCCCAAGCAACACAGGAGCATGCCGCCCTAGCCACAGGAGCTTTGTTTTGAGTTCATTTGACAAATACTACTTTTATTTGCTTGTTTCAGCCCAATTCAGTGTTTCTTTCAGCTTTGCTTGGTTTTATTTGCTAAAGTGGTTATCACTGTTGTATCTGTAATTGCAGCAAGCATGCTTCATTTTGTCTGGCATGTCATTACTGATGCCACTCATCCATCAACCTAACTGTCCAAAAGATTTTCGATTTTTTTTTTGAAAACAATACACAAATACACAGAATACTCTTGTATTTACTGTCCAATCACCTTCAGTATTTACCCAATTGTAGCATGGGATGTTTTTTCTCTTCTGTTATTTCATTTTGGTTGGAACATTTTAAAACTTTGTCTCAGAAGCAAGCAAAACAGATATACAATGAATTGTGATGCATGAGAGTTGACTGACTTGCCTGAGTTGACACCTAACAGCTATATACTGACCTAGCGTAACTCGTGCAGGGGTAGTTTGGTACACATTGCTTATACGGCAGTGACCTGCCCTGGTAGTGGCTACTGCTTATATATTACTATATACACACACAGTATCCTTGTATAGCTAACTGCATCTTGTACAGCTTTTTCATACGATTCCTTTTGAGTTACTTTGATTTTGGCTTTAGATCTGCTTTTAGATATTTTTTGACAAATCTTAGACTAGTGTTTGATGTTAACACTTTTTTTCTGTTTCAATTCTTCTTTGTTCAGTCTGTAAATTAATCATGTCTCAAAGTGTTTTCTTTCCTTAAAAGTTGCTCATATTTTTTTCACTGGTAATTTTGTATATAAAGATACCAGAATATTGCAAATATAACATTAAAATAAATCTCTTTCCTTACCTTGAAAACTTGTAAATACTGTGACGATGTATTTCAATGTTATGTTGCTCTTGTTGTTGAATGTTGTAGTTCCTATAGAGAAATATTGTCTAATGCATATTTTGGCCTTTGTATTTCAGAAGAAAGAAGAAATGTATTAGATACATGCTCGACGATGGAGTCGAATACGTAACTGACGGGGAAGACGGTCCCATGAGTGACGACGTGACCACAGGAGACTCTGTGCATGACAGCGACTCCATGGTAGGGAGTCCGTTACTTTCGGTAACAAGTGATGATGCATTTTCTACACCATCAAAGTCTTTCTGCCAAAACTCGCCGCCGTCCTGTTTGGACCTCGAGGACCAAGGCGAGGACCTGGACTTGACTTTAAAGCCTGTTGATAATGGTGTGGTTAGGGAGCCCCTGTGTCCCCGGTCTCATGACCTGAATGACAGTCGGCAGTATAGCCTAAACAGAGACCTGAATGTCACACTGACTATGTGTACAAGCCCAGTCGAACCAGTGCCTACATCTCACAGTGCGAGCAGTATACTTATCCCCTAGCAGTCAATAGGTGGGATCAAATCTTCAGTCATTTTCATTGACCATGTATCAGTTAGTGTTATTGTACATAAGAACATATAGATGCAAGTGTACAGCATAATACCGAGATCTCATACTATTGATGTCACTATACTTGGTACTGTATTCCCTTCATTAGTCCTCTACCCCCGGAGTTGTTACATTTGTGCGGTGTGCGTGGAGGAAGGAGGGCCGTTACGTGATGGACCCTCTCAGGCCTCTGCTGTGCAGGGGCAGACTTTACAGGAGTGGTGTATCACTAATCGGCAAAACGGGCAGTACCGTTGTGGAATTACCTTCTTGTGTCAGAACCACGCTTCAGGAGACCATTGTATGGCTCAACAAACAGGATGTCAAAACATGTATGTCGAGCTCATGGTGCGGTGATCATGGTTGCCATGGTTACAAAACACTTTACCCCTCCCAGGATTGTGAAATCACATGACATCTCTTTTAGCCGTGTGGTTGCTATGGTGATAGCCTTCAGGAAGTTGAGAACTACTTTTTTTCTTACGATAAAAGGCGTATGTGAAACAATTCTAAGATTTACAAATATATACTTATGAATCAGTTATTATATTGTTAAAAAGTCTACAATATGAAAAAGTTTTTTTAAAGTATTTATAGGTATACAAATTTTAGTGATTTTAGAATTTTGAAATACATAATATATCAGTGATTGGTTGGTCTTTTTAAAACAAAATATATGAAGTGACTTTTATCTCTGTGTAGTTGTTTTCCGATGTAATCTGAAGGTTAGGTGCACTCCTAGACAGCAGACAAATGTAACTCTGGCTCCTTCTCTCGCCTACACTGTTGTCGTGGTGTTCATTGACAGTCATTATGTGTGGTAGATGTTTTCACAATAATATTGTCACTATGTCTAGCCATATGTAGTAATTTCATCTTTATCTCGTCTTTCCTTCCTTGATAATAAACCACTCTGTCAGGATGTGATGGAGCTGATCTCTGGGATAAGTGTGACAAGCACCAGGAATGTGTGCACCTGTCAGGTGTGATTGAGGTGTGCGAGTCGTGTGACACCTGTCGGGTGTGATTGAGGTGTGCGGGTCGTGTGACACCTGTCGGGTGCGATTGAGGTGTGCGAGTCGTGTGACGCCTGTCAGGTGTGATTGAGGTGGGCGAGTCGTGTGACACCCGTCAGGTGTGATTAAGGTGTGCGAGTCGTGTGACTCCTGTCGGGTGTGATTAAGGTGTGCGAGTCGTGTGACTCCTGTCGGGTGTGATTAAGGGGTGCGAGTCGTGTGACACCTGTCGGGTGCGATTGAGGTGTGCGAGTCGTGTGTGGGTGGATCAGTGTGTATGGGACTGAATCATCTAGGATGTTTTATAAAGGTGCAAAATAAATCGTATTCCTTTTTGAAATTGTACAACCAAACGTGAAGGTCTATATATATATGAGTGTGTGTACCAGCTTCCAAGTATTGTTCCCATCAGTTGTACACTATGATACATGTCAACTGATCACAGTTCACCGACAACTTGTAGTTATTTGATTTTTTTGATTTTCGATAATTCTTTTGCAAGAATATTTTATTACTGTTTCAGTGAACATTGTAAAAAAAAAAATTTTAGACAAAAATTGTTTCTATCTCATTTAAATACCCGAGTTTAAAATGTCCCTAGTCTCTGTCTGGTTGTACGAATAGATTGAAAGTTTCCGTGTAGAAGTAGCGAGCATGTCCGCATTCATCAGTGTCCAATACCACATTACTGCCAGAACATTTACCATTGGAGTCTTTATGTATGGGCATCTAGCTTATAACAACATTGTCATTAATTGGTGCAAATTTCTTTTTTATTATTAAAGTAAGATGTTATGTATGGATATTTATTTGTATACATATATGATGATGATCAAACCTAAGTATGTGTCAGGAAAGGATGAAAGCTGGGACGTAAGAGTTATCTTTCATATAGGGTGTAGAACTACAACTTAAATCAGTGCCTACAAAATGTTTCTCACATTATAGTAAAAACACAGTCGGTTACTTTTGACAGATTCTCCTACCTTTTTGGCTATCTTGTTGAATTAATTAGTAAAAAGTAAATCTTCATGGCAAATTCTCACATGTACTGACTGGTTTTATGTTCACATGAAAGTGTTCAATGAGACAAAAACAGCAGTTTTATAATAGATAAATATTTTATCCAAAGAAAATATGAAGCTAACTTACGTTTTGTTTGTGACCTTATCCCATGGAAATAATTACAGAAATATCTTTTTAAATCTCTTAAACATGAAGAAGAAATTTAATTTCTGGTGACAGGAACTTTTAAGACGAAAGCCAAAGACATGCATTTGTCTCTGAATAAGATAATACACTACTAAAGCCTTCCCCTTTTTCTAAACCTTGAAGAAATAACAGGTTGCCCCAAGACTCCCAACAAACAACATCCATATACATGTATATGAATAGATGATCTCCTACAGTCTGTCGTTATCATAGTGTCTGTCCTTGGTTTCTGGTTGTAGTTGTGTATTATGTGTACTGTGTTGTGTCCACCCTAGGAGTGTGGAGCCGCTCATGTCAACTTTATATTTCCATGTTGGGTGTGAGGATTGTGGCACGTTTGCCTGTACATATGAGGAATTTGTATAATGCTCAGAGAACTATAGAAGTTTACTACTATATAATGATTATTACACAAGGTCAGAGATAGTCTAATGATATTTATAATTGTGATAAAATGAAGAAAATAATACAATATACAAGGAAAATAATTTCTGCCTTTGTTCAATTGTGTGAATGTGTGGGTGTATGTGCGAGAGGAATTTTCAAATTGACATGATTAACAAGACACAAGCATAGCTTTTCATTACTTAGTCCATTAAATGGTACTCACAAGGAAATCTCACCAGTTTATTTCATTAAATGAAATATAGGTCCACATGTTGAGGTGTATTAACAAACGTTCAATATATAACATTGTGTCCAGGTAGAACCAAGGGGGGTAACTTCATCAGTCCGACAAAAGAGTGACACAGTCCAGTTGTGTTTTTCAGCCACCTTATTTTTGGCACTATTCCACAGAAATTTATTTCCTTTTGTTAAGTGTGTTCCTTAAATGCAATATAGTGCTACTTACCACATTCACTGGTAATCATGACACAAGATTTGGGTCAATGGTTAGAATTCTGGGCCATATAATATATTGTCAAGATAATGTGTCAAGTGAAAGCAATATGTTTGTAATTGATGGTTATAGATAATTACAAATATTCCTATTTGTTTACATGGGATAATACCAAAGAAAAGAATCTGAAAATCCCCTACTGACTTACATTTATAACTGAATGTTCTCCAATGGAATTGTTAGCGATTACTGATACAAGTCGCAAATCTACAAAATGCATTTAAAATACTACAAAATGTTTATTTGCCAAGAGAGATGTTGTTGTTTTCGATTGGTTGTATGGGGTGGTTTTATTCACCAAATCTTCAGGTACTGGTAGTCAAAATTGGGCACAACTACTGTTGTACAGCTGATTTTGCTTAAAAACACTGAATTTTATGAAACAATTAAAGGAATATAATTATTGTTTTATATATCTAATTTTTTTTTTAGTTTCCTTTAATATCATTTTTCAATTTTGCTTTTCCAAAGATTTTTTTACTTTGTCAACTGATAGTTGACAAAGTAACCATGGTAACTGATTATTTTGAATGCCATTTTTACCTGTAGTTCTGTTTTATTTGTATGCATGATTTGTAAAGTATAAAACGTTATTTTAGTGGCAACATGTTGACACTATGTTGTCACCTAAGTTTGGTTCCAGTGGGTGTGGCCCGCTGATGGTGCTTGTTTTGTTTTAGACCAGCAGCCACTCGGCCCGACTTACTCTCTGTACACAGCTAAATTATGTCACTCTTGTTGTCAAGGTAATCAAGACGTCTTTTTACAAATTGACCAGTGTATTTATGTGTTACAGCATTCTTGTTTCTGTAATAAACCTCAAGTTGAAACTTAGCCTTGTTTGTTTGTGATTACAAAAGTATTAACACCTGGAGTCTTTGCCAATGCCAACACAGAAGTGGAGAAGGTATAGAAAATTACATTGTTAAGTATTCAGATATAATGATAAATCTGACAAATGCATGTCAAAGTACCTTAACCCTGAAATTAGCAGGGTCAAACAATTACAAAGGAATGCTCATCATATTACACATATAAGGAAAACAAGATATCCTAGAAGGATCTTGGTGCCCAACATGAAAGAATTTTCATCAAATTTACAAAAGATGATCTTTTACCTTCTTTGCTCTTTCCTTTTCCTTACAGGTACTACAGTCTGTTTGTTGGAAATCCTAAACAGGAATCTTGAACATTAAATTAAACTTCATAATGTCGTGGGTTATTTGGCAATATGACAAACGTTATTTTATAAGAATTGAAAAGAAAACGCTGTAATTCTTGCAATACTAGAAGTGCTGTCAATGACCAATGTTGGGGCCAGGGATATTTTTAACAAGGGGAACATATCAAATATGGAAAACAAAATCTGAGCTGGCTTTCTGGTGGCAATCCTGGTTTTCCTATCAGTCTTAAAGTTACCATAGCTAGGAATCATGGGGACCCTTCATGTGACATTTGAGCAAGATCCCTTAAAAACTTTCTGGAAAAAAAGCACTAAAAAACTTTTAACTTTTAAAATTTAAGATGCCTGCCTGTTAGCCATCATGGTTTTTGAATCAATCTCAAAATTCTAATATGTGTAACTAACAGGAGACCATGGGGAACCTTCATGTGAAATTTCAGAAAGATCCCTCTAGTACTTTCTGAAGAACAGCACTGACAAACTTAAACTTTCAAATGCATACCTGCCGTGTTGCTTTTCCAATCAGTCGAAAAATTTGCTATGCCTATCAAGAGATCATTTGGAACCTTCCTTTTAAATTTGAGAAAGATCCCTCTAGTGCTTTCTGAAAAACAGTGCAACCAATCTTTAGCCCTCATATTCAAGATGCCTGCCTATCGATCATTTTGGTTTTTCTTGTCAGTCCAAAATTAGGGGAATCTTCATGTGAAATTTGAGAACAATATAGTGCTAAGGACAGACAATGGATGACCATCTCATGATGGTGGGCTAAAAGTATGCAAGGGGTCAAACTTTCAACTTGCACCTTATCCAACAGACTATTCTAGAGTATTGACGAAACCAGAAATAATTATTCATGGTGTGTACAAGTAAACATACGCTGTTGTGGTATCATCAATCAATGTTAACAATACAGAACAAGTGGCCCAGAGGGCCTGTATCGCTCAACTGGATATTAAATGCCCAGCATGGAACAAATAACTATGGGTTTGGGGCAGACCCAAGGGTCAATAATAATATCCTTATTGTGTTCGACTCTTAATATCAAGCAACAGTATATAATGGTTATCGGGCGGGGATCTCATCCCTTTCAAGGTGATAACCCAGAAACTAAGTCCCTAGGTGTGGGGCCAGATCAAAGGATCAATACTAACATCACGATTGTGTTTGGTCTCCTAATGCCAATGGTATATATAATGATAGGGTGGGGATCTCTACCATTTCTAAGATATGACCCAAGAATTAAGTCCATAGGGGTGGGGCCACACCTAAGGGTCAATTCTTATATTATAATTGTGTTTGTCTATTGATGTATATACATGGTTATGTGGTGGGTATCACAGCTGTTTTTAAAGTTATTGCACAGGAATTATGTCCTTAGTGTTGGGGCCAGACCCAAGGGCCAATAATAATATCATGATTGTGTTCGTCTCATATTCCAAGCAATGGTATATATGATTATGGGGTGGGTATCTCAACCATTTCAAAGTTATAACCCAAGAACAAGAACTAAGTCTATAGGGATGGGGCCAGACCCTAGGGTCAATTTTAATATATAACTGTGTGGTGGAAGAGGGTGGGGGGTTAATCTCTCCATTTTTACATCAAAGAATTCGCTAAAGCAAAATGGTCAAATTACCCCTTTTATGGCCCCACCTCAGCCTCCTAGCGGTTCAACCGCTCCATTTGTACAATTTTTAATCCCCACCACCTACGGTTGCTTCCAACCAAATGTGGTTGATGGCCTTCTCTTAGTTTCAGAGAAGACGCTTAAAGCAATATGGACAAATTACCCTTTTGGGCCCTGACCGTAATTTTAATAGCTGGTGCTAAGGTGGTAATTTGTACTCCCAAAGGTTCGACTTTCATCAAACTTTAAAATATTTGTTCATGTCTTGACATTTTATTTTTATGTTATTTGGAGTGTCAATTCTGCATGTACTATATACAAAGACTGAGTCCAAGTTTGAAGCTGATCAAAATACATGCATAGTCTATTAGCATATTGCGCTTTGATTGGTGGACAGTTTTTGCACAATAACGTCACCAAATATGACTGGATCTGATGAAACTAAGGCCGAGTTAGAAGTTGAGCTAAAAATTTGCATAATTAACGAATATTCTGTTCTTAGATTGGTCAGAGGTTTCTACACAATAACCTTATGAAATATGCCTGGTTTTTATGAAAATATTTGCGATGATATTATTATTAGGCCAAAGGGAGGCAGTACCGATTTCTTTTCCTATGGTATGAATATGGCCAATGGGAAGCAATTCCTATACAATTTAAGTTTGTTTTAAAGATATTCAAGGATATTTGAAGTCTATATCGTCTTTCATCTGTAGTACAATGTTTTATTCTTTAACCACATTTCAGAAATAATTAAACTTTACCGAGTAACAAAGTGCAAAAGCAGTATTTTTTGTTTCATTTAATGCAAGAATGCATCAGAAGGATTTTATATATATCAGATTGGCATAGAAGGGGCATATGTTATTCCGACCCCGAGGTACATTTGGTAGGTTATAGACCAAAGATGCCCAATGATGCTCCTGACTAAATAAGGATAAAATACCTTTATCCCTACGGTAGAAGAAGGACTTTAAAGGTTTTACCCTTTAATTCCCTTATTGGGCCTTGCTCATCTGCCCCCAGGGGGACCACACCCACCGTTTATACAAAATTGATTGCTCTTGGAAATGTTGACGACGGACGCAGCGCAGCGCCATGACATAAGCTCAAAGTCCTTTGGACCAGGTGAGCTAATGAATCACCTAAATTGCCCCTATTAGGGGCCTGCCTCTTAGCCCCCAGGGGGCAATTCCCTCCATTGGTACAAAATTGAGTTCCTGAAGAATGCTCTACACCAAATTTAGTTCAAATTCCTCCATTCATATAGAAGGAGAAGGATTTTAAACATTTTACCCTATGTTCTCCCTAATGGGCCCTGCCCCTCTGCCCCTAGGAAAGTCATACCTAGGGGGGGCACACCTTCGTTTAAACAAAATTGAATGCCTTTGACTGAGGATACTCCAGGCCAAATTTAGTTGAAATTCACTCAGCCCTTCAGGACTAGTAGCGTTTTAAAGAAAAAGTTGAAAGACGACGGACACTGCGCAAGGCAGGTGAGCTAATGAAAAACAAATACTTGACTTTAATAGATTTCTCATTACGTAGATAATGTACAATAAATAGCAATTGTGAGGTGATCACTGAGACATCGGACACAACACTAACTTGTTCCTTTCTGACAGTTCAAGTCATTGAAAATACACACAACAATTACATTTGAAATTCTTCAGATGCTACTGAAACTGGCTGGTATCTATTCTTTTGAAAAGCACATGACAATTAAAATTTCGATATTTGATTCCTCCATCTATATTTATGACATTTTAAATGATTAAAGTCATAGTATTGAACTTCTTTTCTTTTTGTTTCTGTTCCTCAAACTAAAACTTAATATTGAAATGACAAGCGAGTGTACCGGGGTGGGTATCGTGGGGATATTTTATGAAATTCCTAAATAAAAAAAATCAAACAGGCAATTTTATATCAAAATTACGATGAATAAAAAACAAATTAATAATATTGAAAAACCATTTGGCGATTAGAATTCATGAGAATAGTGTTGTCAGAATGGTTTGGTCAACAATGGTCCAAGGGACATAACTCAATTCCCGTTCATCCAGCTCGGATTCTTCGGTTCATACTGGCGTTTCATACTAGCATTAAGTTGTAGATTTCACTGTTAATCACGTTAATATCCATACACAAAAGGTACACCAATAGTAGACTAATAAATCTGCCCGAGATCAGTGCAGCACTAGGGAAGAGCACAAATATAGTAAAAGATATGTTAGCTGATTTAGTTACTGAGCATAGAGTTTGTGTAGAATGTGTCTATTGGTCACAGGAGTTATACATAGTACCACTTGACCACTGAAAAAATAATTATATATATATACATTAAACATAATGATCTCAATTGGAAATTTTCAATTTTTAACTTAACCATCACATTTACATCAGCAGCACAAACACTTCAACATTTACAAATAACCTTATACCAACAATATTTAGGATCGTTGTCTCTCTGCTCTGTGGTTTTTGTCTATATAGTAACCTCCCTTTTATTTCATGTTGGATATAACTGCAGCACAGTCAGTATATCAATCTGTGGCCGAGGGTTGCAGTCCTGGTCTAGACCAGCTTTTACACTCAGAACACTTTTGTTAATTATATTTTGTTTACTTCACTTTTAATATTATCATAAAAGTTTGGAAAGGTATGGTTTTCCTTTCAGAAATAATTTTCAAAGCTATATAGTCAAGCCAGATAAAGCATGTTCCAATGTGTAGTTACAGTTTTTGGTAGAAGTACGAGGATCCTTAATTGAATTTTCTGCTATTGGAGTTTAACATGATTTCTGATTGTTTCTGGGGAAACAAAGATTGATGTTAAAGCGTTCCATGATACTTGCTGTATTACACTATAAAAACACTTCATACTTTACGACAAAAGGCTAAAACGTCGTAATGGCCTCAGTTTTTGAGATATTGACCTCGACTAAGCACTGTAAAATACATCATCATTGCCAAACACGTATCATACTTGACCACAATTGAAACTTTCATGAAAATCAGCTGAATATGAAATAACTGAAATAATGGCAAATAGTTTGTATAAAATGTTCTTTCCTATTCACATTGTTTGACCAATATATGAAGTTAGCTGAAATTGTTGCGGGGGGATTTGAAATTGGTAGTTGCAAGTTACTTTTTTTTCAAAACGCAGAGAGACTTCTCACTGATGGAAGAAACACCTGTTTGTACATCAGAATCACAAGATATTGAAGATGCCGAGCAATGAAATGGTGTCATTGGTGGGTTAGTGTGACTGGAAAATGATGATGCAGCGGGATCAAATGTAGTGTTACTGTATTGTCATTGCCTGTAGGTGAATGACATGTTATAACTGTTGTTGATGTAATACAGGTGTTTTTGTATACGTAGGAAATGATTACTGACAGAACCAGAATGCTTACGTTAATCTCAGGGGCTTGTATAGACTTATATGATAAAATTAGCTTGAAATACCTACTTATATATATACAGTACAGTAAGTATTTCAAGCTAATTTTATCATATAAGTCTATACAAGTTGTATACTTTAAAGAAATTATAATAGATCTACCATGAAAATGAGTTCCGAAACTAAATGAGAACATTTGTTAAAAATGCCAATGTACCAAATGAAATCACAGGTGCTCGGGTACTGGAATACCCCCTTATACTAATAAATCATATATTCCAGAACCCGAGCACTTGTGAATGAAATCTACAGCATTGTAGTTATTTTTTTGTAGGTTATAGGTAACAACTTGTTACCATGTGCAAACAAATAATTTCTTTCCATGATCAATATATTCTGTGTACAGTAATCAGCTTTTGTTTATTGACTGATTCGATATATGATATAGCCGATGATCCTCTACTGCCGTAACAACTGTACCGGCGAAAGTGTCATGGCGTTTTCTAACTATTCCGGAAGTACAAGAGTTATCTAGCTTAGAGCGCTGACACCATTGGCGTGCCTACATTGGTCCAAGAGTTACATATTAGCTTGTCGTTTTGTAAGTAGGCCTAGTCTAAGACCGATGTTGGTATATGTGCTTATTTTAGGCATGAATTACCTTTGTACTGGCATCTTCGTACTGTGACCCATACCAGCATAGCATATCGTCATGTATTGAGCATTTTCAACCAGTGAATTTACTAAACTACATGTATTTCTACCTCTTCGTTATATCTGATGAGTTCATCTAAAAGAACTACTCAAAAGATTACATTTAAAAGTGGGTTTGATTTGGTTACAACTGGTAATTACAGGGCACAAAGGCTTGTTGTACATAATATGTCTGAGAGAAATATAATAACATGTGCCAGTCTTTTGTGGGTTTTTCTATTTGAAAAAAAATTCATTTATTTATAATTTATACTTTGTGGTTATTTTATCAGTCTTTGATGATAAATTATAGTTAAAAGACCCATTGATCCTTTAAATAGAGTGATAATTAGATTTTCAAAGAACAAATATATTTCATTTGTTAATTTTTGGAAGTTTCATATTCATTCCACATATTGGCAGTAAACAATATCAATACCTGGTAACAGAGACGTATTATACGTCTCTGCTGGTAATTATGAAAAGAGGGCCTGACTTTGTAATTTAAACTCAAATATGTAAAAAGGTTGAATATTTTTGAAATAAATGAATTTCTTCATACGTTCAGTTAAACTTATCAGAACTAATTGGTAAATTAATTATTCTGGCATCTGTCCCCAATGAAAACATTGACATCAAATAAAGAGTTCTTTTGAAAATAGTCCATATTGTATAAAAAACACTGTGCCCTCTTATGCTTTAGCTATTGCAAAAAAGTATAATGCCAAGTAAAGTACAAGTTGTACCTTTTTTCCTAAAGCCTCAGAGGATGATACCAAATGTAATTTTTTTTAAATACATGTGCCTGCAGGCTTTCTTTAACCCTTTCAACCCTTAACTCTCCCATGCATTGATCTGGATGAGTTCATTATGGTCTACAGTGGTGAATGGGTTAAGGTTATAAAATCTCTAGTTTCTCCTATAATACCGAATACACTGATACATGTTAACTGTATGCCTATATAGTATAATGCTGTAATAATTATGAATCTACTGTAATAATTGTATATGTATCACTAACGCACAGAGCTGTAAGGATTGTATTGCGTTTCTTTAATGATTGTTGTAATTGTGTTCCAGGCAGAGACAAGGGTACCCCATCTCCTCAGGTGCCTTCTCCGGGGCATACCCACCTTCATTATTAAACTAAAGTGCATTATCACAGTTCAGCCATCCCGGCCTATTCGGCCTATTCGTTCCCTCGGGCATTCCCAACCCAGGCATGCCTCACTCCACTTTAATGTCACCAGCCAAAAAACGTGGAAAGCAGCCCCACGGCCAAGATAGGTAAGCCAGTCTCTCCATTCTATGTTCAATGTGTATCTTATAAGGATAGATATAGATTTATTTAAGTATATAAAGTGTGTCATTTTTTATCCATATAAAGTTAGATTTGTGAATATACATAAAATTAGGTAATAAGGAAGTATGAATATATAGTACACAAAAATTAGATCTGAAGATCAAAATCATGTACATAAATTAGGTGTGTAGCTAATAAGAAATTAGGTGTATAGCTTATAAGGTTACCAAAACCAACAAAAATTGAATCTACCCTATGTTACTCTCCGTTATATATATACTGTAGGGAGTGATGTCCCTTTATTAGTAAATGTGTAAAGATGTGGAGTTAACATTGTCTACCAACCCTGTTTTATCTGTGTTGACCTATTTCCTTACAGTCTTGTAACGACTGCTGTTTTGTAATAAACAAAAGTGTTAATTCTTGCTGTAAAATTGATGTAAATCGCGGTAAAATCAGGGATAAATATGTAGATCTGATAACCAAGGTCATCACTACCCCCAATAATCCTACGTTTTACTTACAGAATGAATGACCAAGGGGGCAGTGGCCACAATCAGCGGGAAGAACAAGAAAAGAAGAAACCTCATATAAAGAAACCTCTTAATGCCTTTATGTTATTTATGAAGGAGCAACGGGCCGAAGTGGCAGCAGAATGTAGATTAAAAGAATCTGCAACAATAAACCAAATTTTAGGTAGAAAGGTAAGCATGTGATTGAAGGGAACTAACTCGGCTGAAATATTTAGGATATTTTATTTGCTAATTTCTTTAAACTTCAGCAGATATTGACCATGTTAACATGTCTATTACATACCAGGTTATTTATAGAATTATCCATGCATACTTAGAGCTGCGAATATTGTGGAATTCTGAATTCAAAGTCATGGACATTGATTATTTTCCTGTTAATGGACTTGAACAGGTCTAGTTTGTAGACTTGCTAAAGTCAATACATAGATAGGAAAATAAGTGATATACATGGCGACTGATTCCCAGTCTAGAAATAACAACTTGATTCTGATACTTGTGTAGACTCTGAAAAAGCAGCAAATGAAATGTTTTAGTAGTGTTTAAATTTAAGAGGATTCATGTTGTAGTCATTAAGCTTTCCTGATTTCAGTGGCATGAACTAAAAAGGTCAGAACAAACAAATTATTTTGAAATGGCAAGGAAAGAAAAAGAACTACATTTACAACTGTATCCCAGCTGGAGTGCCAGGGATAACTATGCTGCACACACTAAAAAAAGGAAGGAAAAGAAGGAAAAGAGGGAAAAGAAGGAAAAGAGAAACACTCTTGCACAGAAGCAAGGTATGTTGGAGTTTGTCCCCACCTAGATAGTGCACCGCTGTATTGATGGTGAGGACATGGGGCCATTTGCTGTCTAGGAGATCTAGAGGTATTCTAGAACACTTAACATCAACGGTCTATGAATGGCCCTGTAACACACTCTATATAGACAGGCCACACATTAATTATTCACACATGAAAGGCTAAACACTGGAGCCAGGCAGACATAAATCCTAATAATACAACATCTATAAACAACTGACAAAGCTGTGGAGGACCTATAAGCAGCTCGGGGTGTACAGCTTGATCTGTGTGCTTATTTCACTATCTCATCATTTACAAGTTATATGCGAAAAGGGTATGGTTAACTTTTAACTGAGCCTGGAAATGAAAATGATTTGGCTATGTTAATGTTTCTTATTCATCAAACCTAGAAAACAAAGAAGTTTTGGCTATTTGGATTTTATATGGCCATCAAAATGTTTGATGAGTCATGTTTTGGTACTCACAGCATCCATCCATACTTTTTTTGGTTTTTGCATTATTTATTTTTTTACTGAACAGAAAACCAAGATGGTCGACAGGCAGCCATCTTTAATTTGAGAGTTAAAATTTGTTAGCGCTATTTCACAGATTTTGATAGTGAAGGTTTGTTGTAACTGTTTCTTAGGAAGTTGTGGATGGATCTTTCCTAATTTTTTTTATTTAGGTTCCTCTACATTGTGCATGTTTACTTTTGAGACTGATAGAATAAACAAAATAGTTGACAGACAGCCATCTTGGATTTGACAGTTGAAATTGTTTATCGCTCACAAAGTACAGAAGGGCTCTTTCTCAAACTTCTCAAACAAGCTCAATGTTGGGTGCCAAGACCCCTCTGGGATCGCTTGTTTTGTAATATGAAAACATTGATGCCTTTGAATCTTTATCATAGTACGTAATTCAATACTTTTTTCGAAATTTTCTGAAAACAAATTCTGCTTACAGATTGTAGAATTGCAAAAAAGTGTCGAGCGCGTTATGGTCAGGAGCAGCAGGGACAGTGGTGTAAGCCTTGTCGGTAAGTTCAAGTCACCATGCACAGAGACGTGGCTAATGCAGAAAAGTGTCACTCCTCATAGCCACTGTTTCTTCTAGACAGCATTCAAATGAGACACCAGTAAGCTGACAAATATCGCTGGGTTGTAAAACTCACATTTATGTACATTCGTTTGAATTGCCACACTTGGGGGATTATTGTTGTTACATACACATGGCATGCTGGGGTGATCATCAGATCATTGAACGTTGTTCCTTGGGGTATCAGGAAAAGAATACACCTGCTGTTACCCACCGCATGTATCGTAGGAGGTGACTAATGTGGGAACCCCCTGCAGAATTGGGGATTTGCATTGGTGTCAGTGTGCAGTTTTTTTTTCTTCTTTTTCCCACTGGTAATTATGTACAAATACCAAAATATTGCAAATATAACATTGAAATAAATCTCTTTCCTTACCTTGAAAACTTTTAAATGTCTTGACAATGTACTTCAATGTTGTGTTGCTCAGGTTGTTGAATTTTGTAGTTCCTATAGAAAGATGTTGTCTAATGCATATTTTGGCCTGTTTATTTCAGAAGAAAGCAGAAATGTATTAAGACACAAGCTCGACGATCGAGTTGAATACGTAACTGACGGGGAGGAAGGTCCCATGAGTGACGATGTGACCACAGGAGACTCTGTACATGACAGTAACTCCATGGGAGTCAGTTACGTTTGGTAACAAGTGATGATGCATTTTCTACACCATGATGAAAAAGTCTTTCTGCCAAAACTCGTCGCCGTCCTGTTTAGACCTCGGGAACCAAGGCGAGGACCTGGACTTGACTTTAAAGCCTGTTGATAATGGTGTGGTAAGGGAGCCCTCGACAGGCGGAAGTATAGCCTAAACAGAGACCTAAATTTCACACTATGTGTACAAGCCCAGTCGAACCAGTGCCTACATCTCACAGAGCAAGCAGTATACTTATCCCCTAGCAGTCAATAGGTGGGATCAAATCTTCAGTCATTTTCATTGACCATGTATCAGATAGTGTTATTGTACATAAGAACATAATTATAGATGCAATTGTACAGGATAATACCGAGATCTCATACTATTGATGTCACTATACTTGGCAATCGGCAAAACCGTTGTGGAATTACCTTCTTGTGTCAAACCATGCTTCAGGAGACCATTGTATGGCTCAACAAACAGGATGTCAAAACATGTATGTCGAGCTGCGGTGATCATGGTTACAAAATACTTAACCCCACCCAGGATTGTGAAATCACATGACATATCTTGTTGCTACAAACCTGGAGGTATATATATGAACTTGTGTGCCAGCTTTCAAATTGTTTCCATCAGTTTGTTCGCCATGATACATGTCAACTGATCCCATTTCACTGACATTGTAGTTATTTGATTGCTAAATGTCCCCAATCTCTGGACCAACATGAGACAAATTTTCAGTGTATATCGAAGTAGCGAGCATACATCAGTGTCCAATACAACATTGAAGCAATTTAATTATTATTAAATATTATTATTTTAATTGATTTTGAGCCGATTCTGATTGGCTGAAACAACATATGTGACCACCTGTAAAAGTAGTTATAAACCGGAGTGGTTTGCAGGTGTTCAAAAAAGGTAGAAAGTGTAAAACTATTTTTTTACTTCAATTTTGAAAAAATCAATTAAAATAATACAACTATTGTAGCATGGTGATTTTGGTCGATACATGGTTTTATCAACCTAGGTTAGCAATATTGACCGAGGTCAATATTGCTAACCTAGGTCGATAAAACGATGTTGAATAAAACCATGTTGAATAAAACCTCAAGTTGAAACTTAGCCTTGTTTGTTTGTGATTACAAAAGTATCAACCCCTTGTTCTGTACTAGATAATAGTACACCCTACAGACAGGCACTAGACAAAGTCACATGACAGACTCGCATTACATGGTCAGATAACAGTACAATAGCATATTGTTACATCATGATATGATAGACTGGACAAAATATTTTACCAGACATGTTGTTTTATGTTCTAAAAATAGTAATTCCATTTGGTAGAGTTTAATATTATATTATTGTTATTGTTGATACTATAGATACAGGTAACATATCTAAAGTAAAACAAAAGGCTGTGGAAGCCGAGTGGTTAAGGTGTCCGTCTACAGTTACTAGCCATCCAACACAAAATCCTGGCATGTCCTTAAATGGCCATAGCTGTCAATAATAGGTAAAACAAACTTGATAAAAAATACTTGATGTAATTTGTTTACAAAAACAACAACAATAAATAGGAGACGATTGTATTTATTGACTATTCCTGGCAGAATGATGAAGAGGATGCTATACTAGATTTCTGATTGTGTAGATACTGTACAATAAATAGTAACGTGGTGATCACTGGGACATTGGGACATTGGATAGTCATCTCGCCACACTAACTTGTTCCTTTGTGACAGTTCAATTCATTGAAAAAGCACACAATTACATTTGTAAATTAAAGAGAAATTGAAATTCTTCAGATGGTACTGAAACTTGCTGGTATCTATTCTATTGAAAAAAGCACATGACAATTATCAATTGTGATTTCTCCATCCATATTTATGACATTTTAAGTGATTAAAGTCAAAGTAATGAATTTCTTTCAGCTGGCAATTATAGGCAAAACAGTTAACAGGAAACTTGAGAGGAAGAGTCTGTCAAAGTTCATAGTTTCTTTTTGTTTTTGTTCTTAAAACTATGAATTGTAAAGATTGGAAGATAGGAATCTCATATTCATGGACACGGACACCTCAATCAAAACGATCATATTTCACCCAACAGACATTACCAAGTCAAACCATGTCAAGTACAGAATGGTTTGATGGTTTGGACAGAAAATACACTGCTTACAGATTTCAAAGAAATAAAAATGTTTAAATCAATTATACCTAGACCTGTAAGGATTGACAAGCGAATGTAGGTATTGTGGAGATATGTCATGAAATTTTAATTCCTAAATAAAGTAAAAAGAATCAACAAATACAGGCAATGTAATGTTAAAATTATGATCAATCAAAAACAAAGAAACAATGCTGAAAAACCCTTTGGCAATTAGAACTCATGAGAATATAGTGTTGTCAGAATGGTTTGGTCAACAATGATTCAAGGGACATAACTTGATTCCCCTTGAACCCATTCATTATCCTTCTGACATGCCTTACCATTTTTATCAGCAAATAAAGGCAACAAAGAAATTAAAACTTTTATCAAGTTTGCAAAATAGTTGAGACATATTCATATAAAGATGTAACTAAAATTATTTATAATCTCAAAATAAATGCTTCGATCACTCAAAATTTAAACATGTAAATTACAATAAATGAAATGTATACAGTAACACAATGTAAAGCACATTTTGATGTTGCAAATGAACATGTATAGCTGGGATTAATTTGTCATAGATTTCACTGTTAATCACGTTAATATCCATACACATAAGGTACACCAATAGTAGACTAATAAATCTTCCCGAGATCAGTGCAGCACTAGGGAAGAGCACAAATATAGTAAAAGATATGTTAGCTGATTTAGTTACTGAGCATAGAGTTTGTGTAGAATGTAATTTTGATCAGTCTATTGGTCACAGGACTTATACATAGTACCACTTGTCCACTGAAAAAGAAAAAGAAAACATTAAACATAACCATCTCAATACTAACAAAACTATCTGTGTACAAAATCTTCTACAACCTTTTGGAAATTTTAAATTTTTAACTTAAACATCACATTTAAAAAGTTGGAAGCAACAAGCGTTCTTCAAAATTTACAAATAACCTGATCCCAACGATATTAAGGATCCTTGTCACAAGGCTCTGTGGTTTTTTCGTGTATCAAGTAATCTCGCCTTCATTTTCATTTTGGACATAAAGTAATACGCTGCTAACTCAAAGTCGTGGGGACCAGATCAAAAGTTTGAGGAATACGTTGTATTCCATGAATCTGAGTTTCGTCCGACATCGCCAAGTTTTGATCAGGTGGGACGGCAGACAGCATGAGCACTACTTTTATCGCGGATAGTTGATGATGGAAGTAAAAAGAAGTAAGTTAATAAAGGCTGGAGGAAGTCTACACTGCCATCTTAAGCAAAATCTGTTTCGTCAAAATTCTTGTTTATTCCCAATTCGACGCTATACTGCTGTTCTCATGATCACCTAATCTGTTAGCTTCTATTTTTGTTTAACATGTGATGTCAAAGCCAAAAAACATCCCAATCACTGGAAGTTTTGATTATGCTTGTTAGCAGCAAAAGGAGAGGTGACATTCTTACACAATACTCGTCAATATCTCGGCACTGGGTTCGACACAGATTTTTATGCAGTTACCGCTATCAAGGTATCAACATTTGGTATTATGATCATATAGATCATTTTTCTAATTAGCCAAAATATCAGGACTTTTTTGGTTTAGATAATAAATATGCTTACCTTCAGGACCTAATACCTCAGCCTCTTGTAGTGCAGGATGCTACAGGAGAATATATAATTTTGATTAGCTCAATAACATTTTTTTTTAAAAGTTTAATTCAACACCAAGTCAAATACATCATCCAAAATCATAATGTAAACAGGATTTAGTTTTAATTAATACAGGATTTGCTTGCAAAATTCTGACAAAAGATTATTTCAAAACAGGGCTTGCGAGAAATGCATTTATTGCCTTTTGCTACAAAACAACTTCACACACTGTACCTACATTCACACACAGTACCTACATTCACACACTGTACCTACATTTACACACTGTACCTACATTTGCACACTGTACCTACATTTGCACACTGTACCTACATTCACACACTGTACCTACATTCACACACTGTACCTACATTTACACACTGTACCTACATTTACACACTGTACCTACATTCACACACTACCTACATTCACACACTGTACCTACATTCACACTCTGTACCTACATTCACACAATGTACCTACATTCACACTGTACCTACATTCACACACTGTACCTACATTTACACACTATACCTAACACACTGTACCTACATTTACACACTGTACCTACATTCACACTGTACCTATATTCACACACTGTACTTTCATTTACACACTGTACCTACATTTACACACTGTACCTACATTCACACACTACCTACATTCACACTCTGTACCTACATTCACACACTGTACCTACATTTACACACTGTACTTACATTTACACACTGTACTTACATTTACACACTGTACCTACATTTACACACTGTACCTACATTTACACACTGTACCTACATTTACACACTGTACCTACATTTACACACTGTACCTACATTTACACACTGTACCTACATTTACACACTGTACCTACATTTACACACTGTACCTACATTTACACACTGTACCTACATTTACACACTGTACCTACATTTACACACTGTACCTACATTTACACACTGTACCTACATTTACACACTGTACCTACATTCACACACTGTACCTATATTCACACACTGTACTTACATTTACACACTGTACTTACATTTACACACTGTACCTACATTTACACACTGTACCTACATTTACACACTGTACCTACATTTACACACTGTACCTACATTTACACACTGTACCTACATTTACACACTGTACCTACATTTACACACTGTACCTACATTTACACACTGTACCTACATTTACACACTGTACCTACATTTACACACTGTACCTACATTTACACACTGTACCTACATTTACACACTGTACCTACATTTACACACTGTACCTACATTTACACACTGTACCTACATTTACACACTGTACTTACATTTACACACTGTACCTACATTCACACACTGTACCTACATTTACACACTGTACCTACATTTACACACTGTACCTACATTTACACACTGTACCTACATTTACACACTGTACTTACATTTACACACTGTACCTACATTCACACACTGTACCTACATTCACACACTGTACCTACATTTACACACTGTACCCACAATGTACCTACATTTACACACTGTACCTACATTCACACACTGTACCTACATTCACACACTGTACCTACATTTACACACTGTACCCACAATGTACCTACATTTACACACTACCTACATTCACACACTGTACCTACATTTTCTACACAAGCGTTGGCTTCCTGATTCTCTATCTTGTATGGACTTCCTGCCACGGTGGTATTCTCACTGGAAAACATTGTACAAGTGCACACATGTAATGTCAAAAGTTGGACAAGTTATACAGAAATATCAATGATAAAAACAAGGTCAGATTAAACTTGGAAAACAATTCATGTTCCTTTCCTGGATTTTATTACATTTACATCTTCTTAAGTTGTTCGCAAAAAGGGTGTAGGGATTTTCTAATGTTTTTATAAATGACTGATTTAACCTGCATTTGGAAAATCGCCACATTCATATTAGATTAATTCAACAGACAACAGACTACAACTTCAAGTGAAGCCATAGAAGGCGCTAGATAGTGTCAGACCACAGACGATAGAGATTTTGTGATGTATGGCAAGACCAAAAGAAGTTATAGACTTTCACTTGATTGGGGTTGGGAAAGTAGAAATTGCCAGAATTTTTATTTTACTTAATCAAAGAGTAGGATAGAACTGGAGAATATAGAGGCTTTAACTAACGTCGAGAGGGGGTAAAGAAGGTAGCAAAAGGCTGTAAATGACCATACCATTTAATACTGTCACATTCCACATTCTTGCCTATGAGGTCCTTCCACTGCTTACTACACTCCTCTACCACCTTTAAGGCATATTCCTAGGAACACAACACCATTAATTAGATAGCATCACCATCACCATTTCTAAAGGCTTACAATAATTCTTAGTTTTTTAACTGTTCAAACATTTAATTGCCCCAACAATATACAGGACTTTTGGGGATGGGGCCCTGGGCCCACTTGTATAAAACATTTCCTCAAGTCTAAGATTTCCCATAGACAATATATTGCTTGAGATTTTCCTTAACTTTGAGATGTTTTATACAAGTGGGCCCTGCTCCTGATTCACTCTCCTTAACAACATGCAGACCTCCAACAGTAAAACGGGTATGATAAGACAACAGTCGAGCAATGCTTTGAGGTTATAAGTTTGCCAATTAATATGCAAAAGTGGCACAGCAACATTCACACGTCTATAACTAAAGTTTACTTTATAATACTTCAAATATTTAGGTATTGTTTGATTTGCATCAACTCTAAGTGTTTTGAAATTTCACTAAGTGATGTTTGATTGATGTCTTCTGTTGGTTTTGATGGTTTAGGGAGACTGTCTGGGATTCACCTGTAATGTCGGATAATAAACTTGAACTGGAACACTGACATGCTTCCTGTACATGTGCAGTCCGAAATTTCCTACAGACATCAATATCACACTACTTCCAGTATATCAACAACAATAGGGCTTGCTGCTTCACAGGCTCTCTGGCAGCCCCAAGTATCGGGCTAGTGGATTTTTATACCCCATACTCTTGACTATTATTTTCATTAAAATTCTGTGAAAATTATCGTTTGATTATAGTTTATTCCTACTATATGATCAAGATTAACTGAAACATCAATATCTAATATGGTAAAAGTATAAATTCTGTATAATGTTTTCCATTATAATAGTAGGCATCTGCACTCTTGTCATTATCATTATTAAAACTGAAAACTTTGAAGACACCTTACCTTATTTTTTGCTTCACCATCAAAGGCAAATGTATTTTCTGGCTTTCCATCTGGCATCTTGTATATTTTGAACCATTCAACTGTGGCCTGTAAAGAGAAGGAACCATTAAACTGTGGCCTGTTAGGAGAAGTAACTAGTCAACTGTGACCTGAAACAGAAGGAACTATTCAACTAAAGAGAAGGAACCATTAAACTGTGGCCTGTTAGGAGAAGTAACTAGTCAACTGTGACCTGAAAACAGAAGGAACTATTCAACTAAAGATAAGGAACCATTCAACTGTGGCCTGTAAACAGAAGAACCATTCAACTGTGGCTTGTAAACAGAAGGAACCATTCAACTAAAGATAAGGAACCAATCAACTGTGACCTGAAAACAGAAGGAACCATTCAACTAAAGAGAAGGAACCATTCAACTGTGGCCTGTAAATAGAAGGAATCATTCAACTAAAGAGAAGGAACCATTAAACTGTGGCCTGTTAAGAGAAGTAACTAGTCAACTGTGGCCTGTAAACAGAAGGAACCATTCAACTTAAGATAAGGAACCATTTAACTGTGACCTGTTAAGATAAGGAACTATTCAACTATGGCCTGTAAACAGAAGAACCATTCAACTGTGGCCTGAAAGCAGAAGGAACCATTCAACTAAAGATAAGGAAACATTTAACTGTGACCTGTTAAGATAAGGAACCATTCATCTGTGGCCTGTAAACAGAAGAACCATTCAACTGTGGCCTGAAAGCAGAAGGAACCATTCAACTAAAGATAAGGAAACATTTAACTGTGACCTGTTAAGATAAGGAACTATTCAACTATGGCCTGTAAACAGAAGAACCATTCAACTGTGGCTTGTAAACAGAAGGAACCATTCAACTAAAGCCAAGGAACCATTTAACTGTGACCTGTTAAGATAAGGAACCATTCATCTGTGGCCTGTAAACAGAAGGAACCATTCCACTAAAGATAAGGAACCATTCAACTGTGACCTGTAAACAGAAGGAACCATTCATCTGTGGCCTGTAAATAGAAGGAACCATTCAACTGTGGCATGTAAACAGAAGGAACCATTCAACTGTGGCCTGTAAACAGAAGAACCATTCAACTGTGGCGTGAAAGCAGAAGGAACCATTCAACTAAAGATAAGGAACCAATCAACTGTGACCTGAAAACAGAAGGAACCATTCAACTAAAGAGAAGGAACCATTTAACTGTGACCTGTAAACAGAAGGAACCATTCATCTGTGGCCTGTAAACAGAAGGAACCATTCCACTAAAGATAAGGAACCATTCAACTGTGACCTGAAAACAGAAGGAACCATTCAACTAAAGATAAGCAACCATTTAACTGTGACCTGTAAACAGAAGGAACCATTCATCTGTGGCCTGTAAACAGAAGGAATCATTCAACTAAAGATAAGGAACCATTTAACTGTGACCTGTTAAGATAAGGAACTATTCAACTATGGCCTGTAAACAGAAGAACCATTCAACTGTGGCCTGAAAGCAGAAGGAACCATTCAACTAAAGATAAGGAAACATTTAACTGTGACCTGTTAAGATAAGGAACCATTCATCTGTGGCCTGTAAACAGAAGGAACCATTCATCTGTGGCCTGTAAACAGAAGGAACCATTCCACTAAAGATAAGGAACCATTCAACTGTGACCTGAAAACAGAAGGAACCATTCAACTAAAGATAAGCAACCATTTAACTGTGACCTGTAAACAGAAGGAACCATTCATCTGTGGCCTGTAAACAGAAGGAACCATTCATCTGTGGCCTGTAAACAGAAGGAACCATTCAAGTAAAGATAAGGAACCATTTAACTGTGACCTGTAAACAGAAGATCCATTCATCTGTGGCCTGTAAACAGAAGAACCATTCAACTGTGGCCTGAAAGCAGAAGGAACCATTCAACTAAAGATAAGGAACCATTTAACAGTGACCTGTTAAGATAAGGAACCATTCAACTGTGGCCTGTAAATAGAAGGAACCATTCAACTGTGGCATGTAAACAGAAGGAACCATTCAACTGTGGCCTGTAAACAGAAGGAACCATTCAACTAAAGATAAGGAACCATTTAACTGTGACCTGTTAAGAGAAGTAACTAGTCAACTGTGACCTGTAAACAGAAGGAACCATTCAACTAAAGAAAAAGTACCATTCAACTGTGACCTGTTAAGATAAGGTACCATTCAACTGTGACCTGTTAAGATGAGGAACCATTCAACTGTGACCTGTTAAGATAAGGAACCATTCAACCGTGACCTGTTAAGATAAGGAACCATTCAACCGTGACCTGTTAAGATAAGGAACCATTCAACTGTGACCTGTTAAGATAAGGAACCATTAAACTTTGACCTGTTAAGATAAGGAACCATTCAACTGTGACCTGTTAAGATAAGGTACCATTCAACTGTGGCCTGTTAAGATAAGGAACCATTCAACCGTGACCTGTTAAGATAAGAAACCATTCAACTGTGACCTGTTATGATAAGGAACCATTCAACTGTGACCTGTTAAGATAAGGTACCATTCAACCGTGACCTGTTAAGATGAGGAACCATTCAACCGTGACCTGTTAAGATAAGGAACCATTCAACTGTGACCTGTTAAGATAAGGAACCATTCAACTGTGACCTGTTAAGATAAGGAACCATTCAACCGTGACCTGTTAAGATAAGGAACCATTCAACTGTGACCTGTTAAGATAAGGAACCATTCAACTGTGACCTGTTAAGATAAGGAACCATTCAACTGTGACCTGTTAAGATAAGGAACCATTCAACTGTGACCTGTTAAGATAAGGAACCATTCAACTGTGACCTGTTAAGATAAGGAACCATTCAACTGTGACCTGTTAAGATAAGGAACCATTCAACTGTGACCTGTTAAGATAAGGAACCATTCAACTGTGACCTGTTAAGATAAGGAACCATTAAACTTTGACCTGTTAAGATAAGGAACCATTCAACTGTGACCTGTTAAGATAAGGTACCATTCAACTGTGGCCTGTTAAGATAAGGAACCATTCAACCGTGACCTGTTAAGATAAGAAACCATTCAACTGTGACCTGTTATGATAAGGAACCATTCAAGTGGGGCCTGTTAAGATAAGGAACCATTCAACTGTGACCTGTTAAGATGAGGAAACATTCAACTGTGGCCTGTTCAGATTAGGAACCATTCAACTGTGGCCTGTTAAGATAAGGAACCATTCAACTGTGACCTGTTAAGATAAGGAACCATTAAACTCAGTAAAGACATGGTTGCTGATAAATGATGCTGAATAGCAAAAAATATTTCATGAGTATGAAACACTAATGAAATATAATTGCATTGAAGCCCACCCAAAGAAGTGGGCAAAAACAAGCAGGTTTAACTCAGATCTTGGTATGTGATGTGAAATAATTAAAGTCTGGCGCCATATTCATGTAATATATCAGATATATCATTTGTCACAAGCATTAACGATTATCGCCGTTTCTGTTTTGCTGGACATCATTTAGAACCATTGATAAACAGGGGGTCAAGGTTGAATACAAGCTCTGCCAACCTCTCACTTGACTCTGCCATTTCTGTGAATTAGTTAAAGAAACTGCTGAAAAAGAGGCAGGTTTACTTTTATGCAGAGCAAGTATGGAGTTTAATGGTAAAGGATCTCTTTTAAGAGAAAGTAGAGATATTTCTATATCGAGCAAGTAGAGATATTTCTATATAGAGCAAGTAGAGGTATTTCTATAGAGAGATAGTAGAGATATTTCTATATAGAGCAAGTAGAGGTATTTCTATATAGAGATAGTAGAGATATTTCTATATAGAGCAAGTAGAGATATTTCTATAAAGAGCAAGTAGAGGTATTTCTATATAGAGATAGTAGAGATATTTCTATATAGAGATAGTAGAGATATTTCTATATAGAGCAAGTAGAGATATTTCTATATAGAGCAAGTAGAGATCTTTCTATTTAGAGCTAGTAGAGGTATTTCTATATAGAGTTAGTAGAGATATTTCTATATAGAGCTAGTAGAGGTATTTCTATATAGAGTTAGTAGAGATATTTCTATATAGAGTTAGTAGAGGTATTTCTATATAGAGTTAGTAGAGATATTTCTATATAGAGTTAGTACAGGTATTTCTATATAGAGTTAGTAGAGATATTTCTATATAGAGTTAGTAGAGGTATTTCTATATAGAGTTAGTAGAGATATTTCTATATAGAGTTAGTAGAGGTATTTCTATATGAGCTAGTAGAGGTATTTCTATATAGAGTTAGTAGAGGTACTTTTAGATAGTAGAGGTATTTCTATATAGAGTTAGTAGAGGTACTTTTAGATAGTAGAGGTATTTCTATATAGAGTTAGTAGAGGTACTTTTAGATAGTAGAGGTATTTCTATATAGAGTTAGTAGAGGTACTTTTAGATAGTAGAGGTATTTCTATATAGAGTTAGTAGAGGTATTTCTATATAGAGTTAGTAGAGATGCTTTTAGATAGAGGTATTTCTATATAGAGTTAGTAGAGGTACTTTTAGATAGTAGAGGTATTTCTATATAGAGTTAGTAGAGGTATTTCTATATAGAGTTAGTAGAGATGCTTTTAGATAGAGGTATTTCTATATAGAGTTAGTAGAGGTACTTTTAGATAGTAGAGGTACTGATCTAGTCAATCAACAACAATGATAGTGAAGTCTGGTACATGTTGTATGTTTGATAACTACACACAGACAAAACTATAAATACACATAAAATATCGTTCTAGGTGAATATATTAACATCAAAACAAGAAGCATTGCACATTGATTTTGTTTAATATCTTTCCTATTTGTCTCATTATTGATATGACTACTGTCTTGGTGAACACACACACTGCTGAAATGTCAAGCATTACAGTAACACTTTTGTTTTTAAATGTCCTCTAAATTACTGTTGTATTGCTCAAATATTTCTGAATTTTAAAATCTTCTGGTAATAATGAATTTTGTCTAATTTAATCTGTTTAATTTCAAATTGAAGCAACAATGTAAAATATATGTTCAACCTTTACTGAAAACTCACCTTTAAAAATCCAGGCATGTGCTTATCTATATCTTCAATATCTAAAACGGTAAAAAATCATTTTTAGCAATTAATCAGCAAGTAATGCATATTTTTGGCTGCTAAATTTGTACTTAATATGCCAAATGTGTATACATATCCAGGTCTGCATTAGCCAACAATTTCTAGTTCCCCCACCCCATCCCAATATCACCAAACAAGTTGTTAGCACCATCTGCATACATCATGGGTTTTTTTCATTTTTTTTAAGTAAATGATTTACAGCTCAATGGATTCATTATTTCATTATCAGGTGTTTTTTAGCAGAAGAACAGACATAGACAATCTTTGCAAAGAATTGTTTGTTTTTCAATATCAATGAAAAGTTGTGCATTACAGTGCATTACAAACTAGGTATAACATAGACTCCATGTTTGTTGGTCACACATACCGTTTAATTTCTCTGCCAGAGGATCTGTTACATCTATGGCCAATATCTTCCAATCAGTTTCACCTGCAAGTGCATAATTCAAAGCATGTATCAAATTAAATTATTTTTTATATTACTATTCAAAGCACCTTTTAAAATCAAAACTAAAACTATGTTGAAGCAATTTGTAAGCCTATGTACCCCACTTATCTGTATGAGGGAAATTCTTAAATATTGAACAAGGAAAAGAGGCAAAAAGGACCATGCACCAGTTCATACTGAAACAGTAATACGTGTTCCTCCATGGTTAGATAGTATTGTTATATCTAATCAGATACCTTACTTTATCTTCATCAACGAGAAGTGCCATTCCTAAGACTTACTCTCATCAATATAAAACGTGATAAACAGGACCTACCTTCATCAATTAGAGCAAGGGTCCCTAAGATTTTGACTTGTATCACAGATCCCCTAGGATGCACCTGTGTAAGTAAAGATTTGCACATCAATAATAACTCAATAAATAGGGGAGGTAACTCCAATTTAGATACTTAATTCACACCCCCTAGACGTAAGTATCGGTGCAGTACATTGGAACTAGTGTAAATAACATTTTAGACGAAGGGGAATTACAACATAAATGGTGAGGTAACTCAAAAAGTACACAAACTAACTCACCGGGTCAGCGTTGTAAGTGCCAAGTAGGGGTGGGGTGTGCAATATCATTGTAATATTGGTTATACCAGAAATATTTTTTAAAAAAGATATATATTACAGTGTTTCAGCCAACTATCAATATATAATGATGTTCAGAAGAAAAAGAATGTGTGCATTAATGATTTCACTCTCTGCTAGACCAAAATATGGACTGTTGTATAATCAGTAGTCATCTGCAACTGTACTGAATATATCACCCGGTAACTTTGTTGCAAGGGGGGGTATAATGGCAAAGCACAATCTAATCTCAGCTCACTGAAGTGTGTTAATTATTTTGAGCTGTGGAAAACACAGAACATTAACAGTGCAAGCTGTTCTCTCTTTCAACTGATATCGCAAACTAGTCAGTGTCTGAGGCAACAATTCTTAAATCCAAGCAGGACCAAGTTTTGTATGTATGGTAACTGTAACCTTTTACATTGTCTTTTGACCTTGAACTCTCGACCTTCAAGGTGTTGTAGTTATGAACAACTCTGTGACTCATTTTAAGTAAATGGCCCTGGACAGGGTGTAATAATATGTCATTAACAACCTTTTTTCATTAGAAAAATAAGAAATTATTAATGTGAATACCTTGTATCCGATCTCACACACATCTAGTGGGTCGGAATCTCCCTTACACCCTGTGTCTGGTGTGGTGATTTTCGGGTCCTCGTAAGTCTGGGAAAACAAGCAATACTCAATTTACATCTTTTAGCATCAAGTTTACTTGACAAATAGGTGATGCCCTTTCCAACAAACAGAGCTATAAATACGAAACTGGTTTTTTCTTCCTGACAATATTATTGTTAAAATAATTGTTTTAAGAAGTATAAGACACAAGAAACAAGTTGCTTATCTACCAAAGTAAATGAAAATCTAGTGAGAGAACAAAAAAAACAAAGCCACACACAATGACCATTGTTTTTGGTGAGTTTTGTTGAGTCTTGTTCGCATTCTTTAAGAATTCTATTAAAGAAGTAAAATACTTGGACAATGATAAGAGAGCATCTTTTAGGTGTATTTTTTTCTTTTTACCTTTCTGAGTTAAATTTATGATTAGTTTACCTATATCTAAATATACCTGTGGAAAGGCACCATAGTTCCATATGTAGCCATGGTGAGGGAAAACATTTTTCACAAATCTTGGCTTTTCCTTCTTCACATCCTGTTTGATTGGATTCATCTTTTCTTGTGTGCTGATCTGTCAAAGAAAGACGTTGATTTAGCTCAATATTTCAAATTGCTTTTGATCTTTACAATCAGTTTTGATCTTCCACTTCCATTAGCAGCATACTGTCACGGGGAATCAAAGATTAATCAATATAGGATAATTTAAATTAACATGGCTATCGACATGGAGAAACCTTATCTAAACAGTAAGATCTTAATGAGACGGCCAGAGGTCAGCCAGTGCCTGTATCGATAGGAACTGTTTTTTAAATGCTCAACTTTACTCAAGATTATGCATTTATGGCTAATTCTTCATTCTGGTGATTAATAATTCAAACGTCTTCTTTCCCCCCCTCAAAAATATGAAGGAGCTTAGCATGTTATAGTTGTTTGAGCAAAGAATTCATTCTCAAGCATGAACATGGCATCTGAAAAGGTCTTCTTCCCATGGAAGGATGCTAGTTTTTCACAGGATCAACTGACCATGTTGGTACAAATTAGAATATGCCAAGGGTGGAGTGTCTTGTTAAAGGATTACATACACATGGTAGTGGTCAACTGAAAGCCTTCTTACCAGACTGTTATTGTCCAGTACTGGCCGAATCGAGGCTACAGCACTATGACATAAGTTGATCAATTAACAATCAGAAATCCTCTTCAATAAGATAGATGAGCATTTGAATGGTTCATCATTTCATTTAAACAAAGCAGATTCATTGCAGGATTCGGCAACCTCTACTCAAACATTAGTTTGCATCAGAGATAACTATTTATATCAAAGAGAACTTAATTAGGGGTAATTAGGGATGATAGCATGTCAGTAATACAATGAAGATATTTGCATAAAATTATGGCTTTAACTGTACCAGAAAATACAAGTATCAATGCAAATCTTTAATATGTATCAAATTTAATTTAAACCTCTCACTTAGCTTCAGGTATGTTTGAATACGTAATGCCTCTTGGATAAACTTATTTCACTAAATGCAATAAAATTGTATAGACATTTACAAATTTAAAGTGCTTGCTGACTTTCTAGTTTTGTACAACAATATGTACAACAATAGATTATAAAATTATTTGATTTTACTGCTGTATTAATTAATGTATATGCAAATTAAATTGATTGTATAAATTGTATATCTATGTACTGTATGTAAAGCACTTTAGAGTGGCTTAAATTCTAGCTAGATAGGGCGCTATATCAAATGTTGTATACTATTATTATTATTCCATTATACAACACAGCATATTTACACACTTGGTATACCTCTCCAACCTTTAATCAAGCTGGCCGAGAGTTTATTTAATTGTATATGACGGTAGGTTTACATCTGTCAACACAATAACTCCAGGGTACTGTACAAACGTTCAGTTCACATGAATTTATTTGAATTTTTCCCAAAGTAAATCATTTAAAACACAGTTCCATTATTGTAATACATGTACATTGATTCCAGCAGTTTATCACTGTATTTAGTAAATATTGACAATGCAGACTACATAGCAAATACCCGGGTTGAGGACTATGTACCCTATGGAGCTACTCAAGTTTGGACTTGCATACAGTGCTAATGGATGTTTGGAAGTCAATAGCCGTTCAGCAATTAGCTAGAACTATATCTGGTGTGACAGACATTTACCATTACAATGTCACCTGTCTAAAATATAGCTTTGAAAACTCTTTAATTGTCCTACTGGGCACCATAGAAACAATTCTATCTACTCAGTAAATAGTTCTGTGTATTTCAAAACCATGTCTTTCCCAAATAAAACCAAAATTTCAGCAAAAAAGCTTATGCAAAAAGTCCATTCATGTCTATGTGGGCCGTCTTAAAAAGAGAGTCCCAGGAACAGTAGGTTTAATTGACATGTAAACCTAGAAATGATGGTCACAGTGATCAACATTTACAGGTTTCAAAGAGATTAAATGAATTTTAAGTTTAGTGAGGCCTAGTCATCAAATAAAACTGAAAGTACATTAAGAGTACCTCAGGTAGTGGGACAATATATACTCTTGTCACATGCCACAAAGCAATCATATAAACTAAATGTAAAACAAAGGATTATACTAAGAATGCTCCTCCTGATGCATTCGTGTAGTAGAATTATCAAAATGGACCAATAAAACTAGATCTGAAAATGTAACATACACAACTAAGTACTAAAGAGAAACACAGAAAATTCAAGAACTTTCTACACTTTTTTTTAGAAATAGCTGACAAATTCCAATATGATTGCCTGACAGCCATCTTGTTTGTGTGATCATTTTCAACTTAAGCATGTGATACCAAAGACAAAAAGGATATTTCTTGAATTATTTCAGAAATCTCCCTCTAGCAATTTGAGAAATAGTTTTCCTGGCTTTTAAGATTTGAAAATAGGAACTTTTAATCTGCAAAATAATTGTGTATTTAATAAAAAAAAATGTGATATTTGTAAGCTCACCTCCATTTTGGCATTGGACCAGCGAGGAATCTCCACAACCATGTTACAAACAGACTGGTCACTACTGGATGGGTAGAGGGGAATATCATGGAATGGAGAAATCACATTCTGCTGGGAGTCAGCTAGAAAAGAAGGAACATAATCAAGTAACCAATGTCACAATCGGTAAAATGAGTCTATATGGGTACCTGTTGCATATTCATTTTTTAAATATTTTCTTTCTGAAATACACAATGTATTCTCTAAAATGGATTTCCCAGCAACATTCACAAACAACTAAACATCGAAATTGCAAATCAAAATCTGAAAAGTACCGCAACAGAGGAACTGTATTGTGTGTAGATGTACCAGCGATGGAGACGGTGAATTCATATCTAAACATCATGATAGTATTCATATGTATGATACAGTGGACATGTCAAGAAAACTAATACTCGTCCCAGCATCTTCTAGATACCAACTATTTGCTTCATGGGATGTGATTTGGCTTTGTCTGTCCCAGAAATTCAATCTCACCAACCATGTACCTTCTATATAAACACTATTATTGCTGTACTGCCATCTTGCATGTGCGTTCAGTTTGTTCCAAATGANCACACCCCACCCCACTCCACCCCACCCAACTACTCCTTTGCAGGTGTTATTAAAAGTGCCATCACACTTGGACAGTCGCACCTGAACATGTGAGGAATCTCACCCAGACACATTATTCTGCCACCAAACTTAACACGTCCTTACCACCACCCACTTGAAGCTGAACGTCAAGCAGGGACCTTGACATGGAAGTACAAATATAAAAAAGACTTTGGTTGGTCCCTGTCAGGGGAGATACCCATAACCTTATTAACTTCAGCAAGTACCCAAGCACCTGCAAGGCTAAAAGCAGGAAAGTGAAAGTATTTCAGCATTTGATCTGTGACCTAGAAAGTGAGTCAAGGTAATAAGAGATGACCAAACATGTCTATATGATATACAAATTTTTGTTTCTATTTAATTATATTTAATTTTTGTTTCTATTTAATTATATTCAATTTTTCTTTTAATCACAAATTGATATATGCACACACACATTTATATCTTTAATCCCTGAATATTTTGTTAAGTTTATATTATATCTCTCACAATTCCAAAGCCATGATTCACGGATTCTCGAGAGATTTTAATCCTATAAAAATGCTGCTGAATAATGAAATAACTATAATCTATGTACAACAGCTGTGTTACATGTGACAGCTGAACCTTACAAATACACTTCAGCATAATAAAGAAAATAACAAGGCGAAGTATTGCAAGGTAATCCATAGTCAGTCACTGGTAATTATTTCTATTTACCAAGCTGTACATATATTTAAAGAATATCTCACAATATAGGTCACAATGACATACTTCTTATACTCGGCGAGCCAAGTCATACCAAATCTGGTTACTACAGGTGAAATATTAAGTATGGGAAATATGTCACGGATGATCATTTTCAATGATAAGGTCAAAGCATATGTCACAGTGACTTACTTTATGTACTCAGCAGTTCTTTTGGCTCAGTTTTACAGCCAAATACAGACTGTTATCCCCTAGCTAAAACGTACCGTACCTTATTTTCCCAAAATGACCAAAACATTATGAATATCTTCCCGATTTCAATACAAATAATGCTATATTTTCCCCAAGTCATGAAGGGACAAGCTGTTGTCAAATTTAGGTTAAACAAGAGGCCCAGATACCTTGTATCGCTCACCTGTCTCTTTTTTACATGAAACTGGCATATAGGTAACATCATACCAAATTTGGCAACTAAAATACAAGGCATTTTAACATGTCTTAAACACCTCTTAAGATAATGTTGTTTGAAATTTGAAATTTGAATTTTAAAGCTTTAAACCCACGTTGACCTTCGACTGCGGCTAGCACTTGAAGTTGACATTTGACTTCATTACTGTAAATAATGATAAAGAAAAAAGATTCACACTGCTGGTCTACATAGCATACCCAAGTATCATGACTCTAGACAAAATGCTTCTTAGGATATCATTGTTTAAAGTTTTTAACATATTTGACCCCTGTGACCTTGAAAGTAGGTCAAGGTCCTTTTAATGAGGAAACTTTATAGCACTTCATCCCAGGTACCTACTGGCCAAATATCATGGCACTGGGCCTAATGGAACTTAAGAAGAAGATTGTTAAAGCTTTTAGCCCATGTTGACCCTTCGACTCCTGACTAGCACTTTAGGTTGACCTTCCAACATATAACTGTAATTAAGAAAAAGATTTGCACTGCTGGTCTACATAACATACCCAAGTATCATGACTCTAGTCCAAATAGTTATAAGGATATTGTTGTTTGAAATTTTTAACATATTTGACCTGTGACCTTGAAAGTAGGTAAAGGTCATTTTAATGAGGAAACATTATAGCACTTCATCCAAGGTACCTACAGGCCAAATATCATGACCCTAGGTCTTCCATTTCTTCAGAAGAAAAGTCATTCAAAAGAAAAAGTTGACGGATGGACGGATAGACGGACGCCGCAGTATGGCATAAGCTCACCTGGCCCTTTGGGCCAGGTGAGCCAAAAACACAACTTCTTGGCACTCTGTCATCCCAATGAGTGGGCAATGATATACTTGCTCACCAAATTTCGTTACACAGTTAAAATAGAAGAGATGATATGCTCAGCCAAAATTTTCATATGTAGAGGCCAAAGGTCAAATCTTAGGTCACAGTGACCTACTTTTTTGCAATTAACACTTCGCCATCCCAAGATGTACGTGCATACCAAAGTTTGTTACACAGACAAAAACTGTATAGAAAATATGTCCTGGACAAACTTTTTCAAAGGTTGAGGTCAAAGCATAGGTCAGTGAACTACTTTTTGTGCTTGACACTCCACCATCCAAACCATGTACTTGCTCACCAAATCTGGTTACACAGGTGAAATTGTACAGAAGATGTGCACCAAACATTTTTTTCAAAGGTTGAGGTCAAATCTTGGTTCACAGCGACCTGCTTTTTGTACTTGATTGACCCTCTGCCATCCCAAGATTTACTTGCATACCAAATTTGGTTACACAGGTGAAATAGTGTAAAAGAAGTGCCATGGACAAATTTTCAAAGGTCAAACCACAGGTCACATTGAGGTACGTTTTGCACTCGACACTGTCTGCTATACCAGGGCCCATATTCCTGAAACCATACTCATGCTCAAGCATGTATTTTGTACCAAGCCAACTTTTGTAACTCACTTAAATCGTGTAATACCGTAAAAAAAATAAAGTAAAAACACTGAAAACTGTTTTCCGCTGCAAGTCTGTGATTTTTCTTAATGATTTATCACAAAAACAAGATGTTGGGCTTGAGAACAAAATCTGAGTGTGAGCATGAGAATGGTTTCATGAATACTGGGCCCAGGATGTCCTTGCATATGAAATATGGGTACTCAAAGTGTAATACAGAAAAAAATCCCCGTACAAATTCTTCAGATGGACTGATGGAAAGATAGACAGATGGGGTGCAAACTTACAGTCACTCACAGAACTGGTTGAGCCACAATATGGGCAATTTCCCATTTCCCCCAAAAAGTCCAGTTCATATGTGGTGGGGCACTTCAATATTATATATGTATATAACCGATGACCCCTGCCCTTCTTAATCCAAAGAGGAAATAAATTTATTGTTTCTTGTGGAGTCGATTCCTTAGTATAGATATTTCATGCATACAAAAAAAAAATCAGCATTAGACTTGTGGCTATGTCTGAGCTAACATACAGTTCTGACTGATAAGTTTGATTACTCATACAAGGTACCTGTATAAAGATTAGTCAGTAGTGTTCCTAGAAGTCTACGTGGCATTATTTATATACATTGACTCACTTGTTCCAAGAACTTGGGTCTATACTGAAAATTCAGCTTGGTGTTTCTAGGTAACTAAATTTAATATTGATTCTGTTTACCCCCAGTTAACAACACAGTACTTACAAGCCTCACTGGTAAAAAAAATCATTTTAGGTTTGAGTTAGACATTTTCTCAAACACTGGGGTTTGATTATATATTGGTTACAAGAACAATGCATCTTCTGACAAATAATTTTGAAGTTATTATTCATACAACACCTTTATAGATACATATTTGAGTCAGCTATTTTCCTAGAAATCTTGGGAACACCCATTGTTTTCTAGAACTTGGAAATTGGAATATCCATTATTTTGTCCCCGGCTGGACTACATGTGCTGACAGCTCAGTGATAAATCATTAACAGGCATTAATGAATTGTAAAATATTTAATATACATAAATATGTGTATCTTCAATATGGTTCAGTTACCATACTATTCAGTCAGTCACTAAAATGAACTCTATCAATAGGGAGGTTAATTTCTCAGCAAATGTATAAGAGGCTGAAATGGAAGTGGTTATTTTCTGACAGCACCCCTCAATTGTCTTTTCACCCAGGTCACTGTACCTGATTTCAAGTGTTATGATTTTAAAAATTTCATTGGAATTTAATGCTAACATTTTTACATCACATTATAGGACAAATAAAAATACCCAAGTAGCACTAAACTTATATGCTGAATGCAGGAAGGAATCATTTATGTCAGAGACAGTTATTTTCTCCAATGGAGCAGCATCTTATGTTTGTTACACTGTTTACTGGATGTGTCCTGTTGTTTCCTTCCAGTCTATTTAGATTATGTATAAATTTACTTGAAATCTTTTTTTTATGCAATGGTTGACAACTTTCTGACGAAGAGAGATTTTTTATGTATTCATTATTGCGTCGTCAGAGCTACGAAGGGGTCCTATGCCAACTGATGGAGCAAATTCAAAAGTGCTAATCTGTTAGATTACACATAATTCATGCCTCATATATATATATGAGTATAATATCAAAATATTGCATAATTGTTGAAAAAAACAAATCCTTACCAATGAAAAAAACTATTTAAAGATGGCTAACCTATATTGGAAGAGAGAACTTTCCAACATTACAGTGAATTCAGATTTCGATTGCGCTTGCTACGTTAACTTGATAATTTAACGACATTTTAGGCAGAGTTTAACTTCAAGTTACACAGGATATCAACAGAAAAAGTTCATACTACAACCTTTTTATCAAGCAGACCAATGTGCTGTCAATTACTTCTAAAATCGCCCTGGTGTGATTTTCTTTGTTAAGGAAAACGAAATAAAGTCGCTTTTAAAAGATGATTGTATCATTTAGGTTGATAACAAAAGACATAAAATATAAGGATTCTTTTTAAAAAATAATGATGTAAAAACATCGGAAATTTTACATTTATGAAAAATGAAAATAAACATCTAACTGTATGCTTTTTGTATTCAACATTACCATAAACCTTATTGTTTTATGCGACTTTGCTTTAATTTAATGAAAACATAGCTCAATACAGCTATAATATATAGGTGTATATAGCTATATAGGTCTCTATAGCTATATAGGTCTTTATAGCTATATAGCTCAATCGACAGAGTGTACTGGACCTGTTAGTACTAGGTAAGAGTGTGAAAATGTATATATTTTGAAATTTTGAAGCTCAAGCTTACTCAATTAACATAAACATGATAAACAGTCACTCCTTGTGCATTATTTGATAGGTGATTGGTCAATTCTAACTGCTACTTATGTACTGTTAACAGCAAAAGTAACAGTTTAGTGACAGATATTCGAAATATAGCTCAAATACACCTATTAACGGTACACCGTCAAAAACACACCCCACGACTTGGCAATTATTATGATATATGTTATACAGCTAATACAGCAGAGGTCAGTTTTACTTGCAATAACATTTTAACATCCAACTTGAATCAGAGTCAATGCAACAATACATGTCTGATGTACAGTGAATGCCGGTTTATGCCTAAAACAGCACGTGCATCATACTATAAGTCGAGTTTATTCATACTTACTGAAGAACACCCGATAGTCCATGGTGAAACGGCTTCCTCGTTCGACAATTGAGTACGACATGATCACTCTAGCTGTGTGGATATGTCTCCTTAGTAAGCAAGTTTTCGGACGGTTGGCCAACACACTGCAAGTCTCTGACTTTACACAAGCTCCTAGAGCGACAGTCACCAATCGAGTTGCTGTTCGCACACGTTGCATTGAAAGGTATGGCAATAGCTGATGCGCACGCATCAAGATCCCGGATCGGCAAATCAGAACAGGTAGTGTGGCGCGTTCGATAAGAAATTGACGTAAACGCCGGGCTGGAGGTTTCCAAGCACATACAAAGATATAGATTAACCTAACGGTATCATAATCTTCTTCCACTGAATGTTCGTGTGGATTTGCGCGGCTTCCGTCAAATCAAATCTGTTGTAGTTCTGTTTGCATTCTTATTTCATACTTGTTTTAAAAGTGACTTAGACTTTGCTACTTTCGTTTTAGTATCATTTATCACAGCTCATGGTTTAGTTTGTTACGAAAGCCAGCCAGTGCCAAGATTGAAATAAAGCTTTATGCCGTTGACTTTAATAGTTTTCAGGGGCGCAACAAACAGGTTTTCAATGTGTAAGCCCAATGATGAAGTGTGCTGCCGAAGGCAGCACCCCGAAGCGCGTAGCTCGAGGAGGATGGTATGGGAGGGGGTTTTCCCCCTCCCATTGGTGTGGGTCTGGGGGTTTCCCCAAGGAGAATTTTGTTTTCTAGAACACATGAGACGCATTCTCCCTTGTTCTGGCGCCAGTTTTAATGGCCATTTTAAAGCAAGAAAATATCGTTTTCCCCTATTATTTTCCAAATATTTTGCTTCTTTTTGGGTACGTAGGGATTGGTACTCATCTACGCTAATTCTGTTATGGAGTTCGGTAACATTATTCCACGGAAAAGAAAAATCTAAAATCATGTGGATTTTGGGATAGTTGTTGTAAGAGTGTGACGTTTCTCCTCGCGACTGTGACTCCGGTTGCGCAGGGATATGAGACTAGTATCACAAGCCATCACTAGGAATAGTTTAACATTATGTACATAAGAACCAATATACTGGTCAATGTAAAATATAAAGCCATGGTTTATGACCATTCCATATGTATTTTGTATCAATAAAATAAAGGGGATAAAAATCATAGGAACAGTTTATTTTATTTCACGGGGGGGGGGGCTAGTGAGTACTACTGATGTGTATACCAATAATTTGCATAGATAGAGTTGCACTGACGCAGTTCCCTTTATATGTATAAAAGCGGTAAGAAAAACCTTAGACACACTTTATTTCACGGGGAAAACTAGAGTTAGATTTTGGGGTACACCGATAATTAGCAAGGCTAGAGTTTCACTGGCGCGATTACCATGCCGAATGAATATGATACCCTCAGTTCTACATTTGTTAGAGACTTTGATTGCAACCAAGCATTTTAGTTGGCGGTCTTTATAGCAGATACAAAACATCTGTCATTGCTTTTTAATATTTTATATCATATAGTCTATGTTGCGTTTATATTTATTTTTTTGTCAAAAATAATGTGTAAGCCCGGGCTTTTTTGCTACATAGGTTGTTACGCGCCTGGTTTTTATTTTTATTTCCTAAAAATGAAGATTAATGTCAGATGACACAGAATTTGTGTTTGTTTTTGCAAAGTGACGGTAGAGGCTTGATTTGAAAGAGTTTGCTGTCAGGCTAGATTCAGTATCCAATCGAGTATAGTTCGAGGGAAGACAGTTTCTTTTCTAGTCAGAGTTTTGGAGAAAGGAATTTAGGAAGAGAGCTCGTTTCCATGCCTAGATTTTCTGACGGTCTGTCAGATTTTGCAACAGCAACTTTACTATTGACAATGTTATAAAACATGGTAAGACGAGCATCTCTACGTCTTTTTAATAGGGGGCGCAATTTGAAGTGGTCCAACTTTTCAGACACACTTGAGGTACGGTAATTGTACCTGTGCTAATTTAGCACGTAACGCGCAGTCCTGCGCTGCACCATTTCAATTTTGTCATTTGTTTGGGTGTGCGGGTCCCATACTGTGAAAGCATATTCTAGTAATGGTCGTACTAGTGATTTATATGCCTGCACTTTGGCTGATGTTGAGCCAATTTTAAGATTTCGTCTCAAGAAGCCTAGGATGGAATTTGCCTTTGAGCAGATGCTATCATACGGGAGTCCCATCTGAGGTCAGATTGCAGTGTGACACTCATATACTTAGCCTGACCTACATGCTCTAAAATATGTACTGGTTAATGTTTATTATAGATTAGGACATCTAGATTAGGACATCTAGGGCCTTGCTCGTTTATGCGGAACAACCGGTTTGTCCGTTTTTAAATGTAACAATTTCGGGTATAAATACTGGCGGACCTGCAAATGTTTATGTAGACATTGCAAGGCTTTGTCAGGGCTCGCCTGAAAGCAGCATCAGATTACTAGGTCCGACCTTATTCAATAAACGAACAACTGTGGTCCGACCGGTTCAACCGTTTAAATGAAAACGGCCCTAGTTTTAGTCACATGTAGCACATTACATTTGCTCGGGTAGAAGCTAGGCCATTTTCCATGGATTTTCCCAGAGCGCCAGTTTGTCAAGGTCTTCCTGCAATGTTACAACAACATCACTATTTGACCTAACAACCAGATATGCAATAGTGTCACCTGCAAATAAACAACCTGTAGCATTCATACCCATTGTTATAGGGATATCTTTAATGAAAAAAGGAATAATCTGTGTCAAAGAACTGATCCATGGAGTTATCCAGAATGGACATTGACACTACTGCTTGGGTCCTACCAGCAAGAAAACTCACTCCAGTTTGTAACATTGGCCCTTATACCATAATGTTTTAACTTATGGATTATAGAGAATGACTGACTTTGTCAAGGTTTCTGGAGATGATACAAGATGTTATTTGTATCGGCGTGTGTCATGGTGTTTGAGACCACTACATATGTGTATGTTCCATGATTTTACTACAGATACCTGTTAGATATATTGGCCTATAGTTTTCTGGATTGGATTTTTGACCTTTTTTATACACAGGTGACACGTTGACAGGTTTCCAATCCAGATGGACTATATTGGTTGTCAACGACTGTTTGAATATCAGAGTTAAGATCGGGGCTAGGTTTGACGTCATCAGGGCATGAGGCCTTGTATTTAGGCATTGGAGGAGTTTGAGGACACCTCTTTCATGGATAACACTTTCAGGCATGGTGGGATATGCATCGTGAGCCGACATGTTACAACTGGTGCGAAACTGCTGGTCAGTGAAGATGTCAGAGGGAATAATGCAGATTGGAATTGTGCGTTTAGTACCTAGGCCTCGCTGGTAGGGTCAAGAACTAGCTTACCGTCCCTTTTCAACGGATATAATCCAGTATGGTCTGATCGTTAGACATCGTTAGACATCGTTAGATCGAGAGACAAAATTAAATGACACTTTTAGTCAGACTTTTTTTTTCAATTAAATGGTTACCGGACTTTCCGGAAGGACAGGACAGCAAGTGGTGGTGGTGGTATTGTCTGTTATGTCAGGTCTGACATCCCATGTAGTCAAAGGCCAGACCTATAGTGTGGAACTGTGGAAAGACTTGTTCTAGAACTTACAGTCAATAATAGTAAATGGGCTGTAATGGGAGTTTATAATCCCCTTCTAACCCAAAACAGCTAGTGTACAATGATTTAAGTATTAAATTGGATTCAATTAGTATACATTATCATAATGTAGTCAGTCTGGTAATGCAAACATCAATAGTGATTTATCGTTAAAACTCCAACCTGCTTCATGAAAAACTGTAATTCTAGCCTGGTTGATGTAATTTTAACAAACCAACACATGTATGTTTTTAAGACTATTTCCTATGATTGTGGACTTAGTGATTGGCACCATATGAAATGTACTGTATTTAAGGGACAAGGGACAATCCAAGCAAAGGAAAGGAAAAGATTGAGGTGTTTTAGGAACTTTGATGGGTCGTGTGCCGATTCATGTTGCCTATATATTCGATAATATCGATGATATATACTGGGCCCATGAACGTCTCATGAATGATGTCATCGATGAACATGCTCCCATCAAAGAGAGGTTAGTGAGAAAGAAGAAATGTCCATTTGTAATGCAGAAGAGCTATATATAAGAAAGAACTATTTTTAATCGTTATAAGAAATATCGTACCCAGAATAATTGGGAAGACTATAGAAAACTTAGTTACTAAAATTAGGAGGCAATCTCTGCAAGCTTATTTCTTTGAACCTTGTTCTGGGGGTCCTCGGGCAAAATATTTCTGGCCAACAGTCAAGCCTTCCTATCAAACAAGGGCTTGATACCCGTCCCGTTTTACGACTTTAACCAAACCAGCTAAAAACAACAAACCACCAAAACCAAGAGATTTCAAGATTTCAAGATTTTTATTTCACTCAGACACACATAATATGTGTAACAAGAGGTCATGTATATATAACATAGTTTGAGTGCATGACAGGCAAACATTCTATACCATAGCATAGTACATAAAAAATATATATACGTGTAGTTACATACAAATAATTCAGTGTTCAACTTATAAAAATGTCACTAGCAAACAAAAGAAAAACTTAAAGAATAGAGACACTAAAGTACTTTTGTTAATTTTTGAACAAATAAGCTTACACTTTTTAACAATTTCATATTAAAGATTGTGAACATTCCTTTCATTTTATGTTGGTTTGGACTTGTATAAAAATAGGCCGGAATATGTTTTTCCCTTATTTTGACTAAAGTGTCGTTATTACAAGTATATAAGTAATGATACTCGTCCCCAATACCAGTATTACAAAGTGGGCATATTCTGTCCTGTCTTTGAATTCCCACCCATCTTCCTGTTTCTACTGGAAGCTTAATATTTGAAGTTCTAAATTTGCAGATAATTTTCCTATCTTTTGCGTTTAATCTGATCAAATAGTCTTCTAAACCAAAGCGATATTTAAATGTAGAGTATAATCGTCCTCTGGATGAGGTGTCAATTTTATTAAACCAGGATTGAATAAACTGATCGTGTAATTTATGTATAATTGCAGCTTTTAAATAAGTAATATCGGGCAGACAGGTTTTTTGATGGATCCAAACATAGCTTAGACCTACGCTATCCAGGATATGTTTAACATAGTTCAACCATTTAAACTCGATTTGTCCATTTTCATGTAATGAGTACATCAATTTGTACATTCGACTAGACAACTTATTTTCA